CTGAAGTAAAATACATACTTGGTGTATTTGTTGTTTACTAAACAATATCTATTGACTCTTGATTCCTGTGTGATAAATCAGATAGAAAGAACACTTTCTGGTTAAATGATTAAGCTCTTAGAACACCATGGTGTTCTAAGAATCAACCAATTACGGTTTTATCAACCTCTTAAGAAAAATACATACTTGGTGTATTTGTTGTTTACTAAACAATATGTATTGACTTTTGATTGGCGTGTGATAAATCATTTAGAAAGAACACTTTCTGGTTACATGATTAAGTTCTTAAAACACTTATTTCATAGTGTTTTGAAAAACAACCAATGACGATTTTATTAATCTCTAAAGCAAAATATATACTTGATGTTTCGGTATTTTACTAAATAGAATGTATTGACTTTGTTTCAAGAGTTGTAGATAGTAAAGAAGTCAATACAATTGTGGATAACAAATCTTCAATTAATCTATAGATAAATAATATATTAGTTAAAGCTTCAAAGATTAATACATTTATACAGGACTAACAAAATTTAATTTTAAACTAGAAGTTGAATGTGTTAATGATGAAAAGGTAGATACAACTCTATTTAATTGTTTGAGGAACTTACTTAATAATAAACATGATATTTCTTTCTCTATTGGTTTAATCATCAGATATATGTCTAATCCAATCAATAATTATTTGTTGGTAGTCAAGAGAGTTTCAAGATATATCAAAGACACACTAGATTATGTATTATTTCCTAATTAAATGAAACATATTAAGGCCAAATTGATTGGTTGTTCAGATTTTGGTTAGTGCATGTCATAAATCAGATAGAAAAACGCTTTCTGGTTACATGATCAAGCTCTTAAAACACTAATTTCATGATATTCTAAGAAGTAAATTAATGGTGGCTTCATCAATCTCTAAAGCAAAATACATAGTTGATGTATTTGTTGTTTACTAAACAATATGTATTACCTTTTGATTGGGGTGGTGATAAATCAGATAGAAAAAACATTTTCTAATTACATGATTAAGCTCTTAGAACACCAATTTCATGGTGTTCTAAGAAACAGCCAATGGTGGTTTTATCAATCTCTGAAGCAAAATACATACTTGATGTATTTGTTGTTTATTAAACAATATGTATTGACTTTTAATTGGTGTGATGATAGATCAGATAGAAAGAACACTTTCTGATTACTTAGAACATCACTGTCATGATATTATAAGAAGTAAACTAATGGTGGTTTTATCAACCTCTAAAGCAAAACACATAATTGATGTATTTTTTGTTTACTAAACAGTACGTATTAACTTTTGATTCAGGTGGTGATAAATCAAATAGAAAAAAACATTTTCTGGTTACATGATTAAACTCTTAGAACACTAATTTCATGGTGTTCTAAGAAGCAACCAATGGTGGTTTTATCAACCTCTGAAGCGAAATACATACTTGGTGTATTTGTTGTTTAGTAAATAATATGTATTGGCTTTTGATTTGTGTGTGATAAATAAGATAGAAAGAACACTTTCTGGTTAAATGATTAAGCTATTAGAACACCAATTTTATGGTATTCTAAGAAACAACCAATGGCGATTTTATCAACATCTGAAGCAAAATACATATTTGGTGTATTTGTTGTTTACTAAACAATATGTATTGATTTTTTATTGGTGTGTGATAAATCAGATAAAAAGAACATTTTCTGACTACATGATTATGCTCTTAAAACGCTTATTTCATAGTGTTCTAAAAAATAACCAATGACAATTTTATCAATCTCTGAAACAAACTATATATTTGATGTTTCTGTTGTTTACTAAACATAATGTATTGACTTTGTTTCAAGAGATGCATATAGTAAAAAAGTCAATACAATTGTGGATAACAGATCTTCAATTAATCTATAGATAAATGATATATTAATTAAAGCTTCAAAGATTAATACATTTATACAGGGACCAACAAAATTTAATTTTAGACTAGAAGTTAAATGTGTTAACGATGAAAATGTGGATATAACTTTATTTAATTGTTTAAGGTACTTACTTAACAATAGACATGATATTTCTTTCTTTATTGGTTTAATCATCATATATATGTCCAATCCACTAAATAATCATTTGTGGGTAGTCAAGAAAGTTTCAAGATATATCAAAGGCACATTAGAGTATGTATTATTTCTAACTAAATGAAACATATTGAGGCCAAATTGATTGGTTATTTAGATTTTGGTTACTGTGTGTCATAAATCAGATAGAAAAAACATTTTCTGGTTACATGATCAAACTCTTAAGACACCAATTTCATGGTATTCTAAGAAGTAATGAGGACTTTATCAACCTCTAAAGCAAAATACATAGTTGATGTATTTATTGTTTACTCAACAATATGTATTAACTTTTGATAGGGGTGATGATAAATGAGATAGAAAAAACACTTTCTAATTACATGATTAAGCTCTTAGAACACCAATTTCATGGTGTTCTAAGAAGCAACCAATTGTGATTTTATCAATCTTTGAAGCAAAATACATACTTGATGTATTTATTGTTTACTAAATAATATATATTGACTTTTAATTAGTGTAGTGATAAATCAGATAGAAATAACACTTTTTGGTTACATAATTAAGCTCTTAGAACACCACTTTCATGGTATTCTAAGAAGTAAACTAATGATGAATTTATCAATCTCTAAAATAAAATACATAATTGATGTATTTGTTGTTTACTAAACAATATATATTAACTTTTGATTGGGTTTGTGATAAATCAAATAGAAAAAACACTTTCTGGTTACATGATTAAACTCTTATAACACTAATTTCATGGTGTTCTAAGAAACAACCAATAGTGGTTTTATGAACCTCTAAAGTAAAATACATACTTAGTGTATTTGTTGTTTACTAAATAATATGTATTGACTTGTGATTCATATGTGATAAATTAGATAGAAAGAACACTTTCTGATTAAGCTTTTAGAACGCCAATTTCATGGTGTTCTAAGAAGCAACCAATGACAATTTTATCAACTTCTGAAGTAAAATACATATTTGGTGTATTTGTTGTTTATTAAATAATATGTATTGATTTTTGATTCCTGTGTGATAAATAAAATAGAAAGAACATTTTCTGATTGCATGATTAAGCTCTTAAAAAATCAATTTCATGGTGTTCTAAGAAGCAACCAATGACAGATTTATCAATATATGAAGCAAAATACATATTATATGTTGTTTACTAAACAATATGTATTGACTTTTGATTTGTGTGTGATAAATCAGATAGAAAGAACACTTTCTGGTTCTATGATTAAGCTCTTAAAACACCTATTTCATAGTGTTCTGAAAAATAATCAATGGTGATTTTATCAATATCTGAAGTAAAATGTATATTTGATGTTTCTGTTATTTATCAAACTGAATATATTAATTCTATTTCAAGAGTTGTAAACAGTAAAGAAATCAATACAATTATAGATAACAGATCTACAACTACAGATGGATATATCACTTCAAACTTCAATGACGGGAAATTAAAGTTATAAATTGTAGAAAACTTTTAAATTAAGAAAAAAAAGGTAATTTTATAATTTAAAAACTTCTATATTTTTTTAAAATTAATTATTAATCAACTTCTATATATTTTTAGCACCATATACAAGTGAAATTAATATAAAAAAATATAACCTAGACAATCTCATTAATTGAATAATAACCATAAAGATGTAGGAAGCATTTTCAGCACAAGAACACAAAATAGAGGTAATTACCAATTATGCTTCTTTCTCCCCAAACTTTTCTTGCTTTTGCACAAGTACACTACACAAACTGTAGGTGTGTTCTGGAGAAAAATACAGGGAGGGAGGGAGGGAGGAAGTGTGTGCATATGTACAATGGGAATAGGAATGTAGAAACAAAAAATGCAAACAACGCCTCTCCTCTCTCTTCCACGTGCATATTTTAAGGTGCATGTGTCACTCCTTTGTATTCCATGCTCAATAGTTGACACCTGCACTGTACAACATAGTCCTTGAATATGTCTTCTTTCATCACTGTTAAAATGTCCTCTTCTCGTTTCTTACCTACATTTATGGTATGTAATTTTCCCTGAAATCTTTTACATTATTACTGTATTTTAATAGAAAAACATATTTGAAAATTGTTATCATGGCGTGTGTCTGCAGTCCCTTTCCATCCAAAGTAATGTCAATTTATTCTCGTTCCTCCTCTTACTTTCTGCATTGGAACGTGAAGTTCTTCCTTCAGAAATTGGTGGAACGGGTTTCAAAACACACCTAGATCCAAGACCTGCATAATCCTATCATAACAGCTCCAACAATGACAAGAAAGCTGCTCCCCTCAGCCCCAACAAACCAGCAGAGAAGCTTCAAATAACAGAATGACATACACACTCGTGAAGTCTAAAAATTCTGCATGGGTTGGAACACCATTATTATCATGATAGCAATTCACCCCGATTATATATATATATATATATATATATATATATATATATATATATATATATATATATATATATATATATATAAAATGGACCACCTTGCTTAAAATTAGATTCGTCGGATTAGACCCATTGCAAGCAAATTTAACTTCTATGTTGGGGTTTAATTACAAAACCCATAAACCTAACCATCGGTTGAGACAGTATTTCTTGAGTGGGTAACAAGCCATTGTCTTTTAGAGTATTGAAGTGTGTGATGATAACAAGCCATTGCACTAAAAGAAACGGTGAAATGCTTCACAAAATGAAATTTGCACCAAACAACAACCTAACACTAATACTTGAAGACCATTGTATTATTCTAAAACTTAAAGCGTAAATTGAGAACATGAAGCAACAATTCTTGGCTTGGTAGAGAGTACTACCAACAAACAATGCCTAACAACAGGCCACCTAGTCACAAAGCAAGGTTGCACACGGAACAGAGAAGAGCAACTACAACTATGCATTGTAGAAGCCATGTGTGATTGTATTTTGAGGTTGCTTATGGTTTCCAAAGAATGGTTGTCTCAGCAATCATGGAAGTGACAACATAAGGGTCCATGTTAGATGCAGGCCTTCTATCCTCAAAGTATCCCTTCCCTGCCTTCTCTGTGTCCCTCCCTACTCTAATAGAAGCACCACGGTTTGCAACACCCTGCATCCACATTCAATGATTTAAACTAACCAACTGCTTCTTAACATAGATTATAATCAATGTTTTGATTGTGCCTTGTTTGGTAAAGAATTCAATGAACTACTACTATAAAAGAAAACTTTACTATTAGTTCATAACATATATATAAAAAACTAGTAAAATATCTTATCATGTGATTACTTGTACAAGTTTAAACAAGTTTGCTTCCTTAATATTGTTTGTTGCTTACCCATATGAATGTGTTCATGTCCGCTGTCTCGTGTTTTCCTGTCAAACGACGTTCATTGCCATCTCCATAAGCAGCAATGTGCTCCTTGTGCCTCTTTTCCAATTTAGTGATTGCTTTTTTTATGACTTCATAGCCACCATCGTTTCTCATGGACTTGGTACTGCAACATTATAGGTATAGCATCCACTTTTTAGCCATAAAAAAGTGACATTATGTTATGTTATTTTTAAGTACTAACTACCCATTCTTTAAGTAACCAAGATTACCTGTAATTCGTGTGAGCACCAGCACCATTCCAATCACCCTGAATTGGTTTAGGGTCAAAGGAAAGCACCACTCCTGCAATCTCAGTGATCCTCTGATAATGAAAAGAGAAATATTAGCTACACTTCTTTTAAAGATTAGAGATGGACCAACTTGTAGCTACTAAGTGCTAAGTACCTCCAAAATGTAACGGGCAACCCATAACTCGTCAGCAGCAGAGATGCCAACTGATGGGCCAACTTGGAATTCCCACTACACATCATGAAGAACAGATTGAATTAAGAGACTTAAAATTGAAAAACAACAATGCATTAGCAAAAAATTAAGCATATGAAATATAAGGGTAAAAGTTGATGAATATCATATAGTTCAACTTACTTGACCAGGCATCACTTCTCCATTAATTCCACTGATGTTAATGCCCGCGTAAAGACATGCTTTGTAATGTGCATCAACGATGTCACGTCCGAAAGCCTTGTTAGCACCAATACCACAATAGTATGGTCCCTGTTGAGCAAGAAAAAAAAACAGAGAATACATGAAGCAACAAGTCATTATCAAAACATAACAAAGTGAACACAAAAAGTCACAATTAAGGCTGAAAAGTCAGCAACAAAGAGACTAACAGGTTTAAATTGGTTTCAAAAGTTAATGACCTTTGGTAAAAAGAAATATACATGTCGTCAATAAAAATATATACATTATTAATTAAAGGCATAATAAATTGTTAGTGTGATGAATTATTAAATGAATTTGATGCAAGACAAACTTTTATACTAGGGAAAATTACATGGCAACAAATCTTCAATTTAAAAAAGATGGAAGAAACGAATATTCATTCACCTGGGGACCAGGAAAACCACCAATAGGCCATCCAATTGGCCACTGAACATCTTTCTGCAACAAGGTATATTCCTGCTCAATGCCATACCTATTTGGAGATCATAATGTAACCTTAGTTTGAGAAAAGAAAATAATAAAATCATTGTCAAAGTTCATTAAAAACTACCAGGAAGCAACATAGATATCATACCAGGGTTCTTCAGCAACAACATCAGGATTGCTAAATATCTTTGCAGCCTTATGTCTCTTGTTGGTAGGGATGGGTTCCCCAGCAGGAGTGTAAGCATCACACATAACCTGAAACCAATTACAATTCAAAGATATAAAATTATTACACCATGGAAACAAAGAAAGATGTATTAATTGCAAGTAAAGAAGTAGACAAGAAGAAACATACCAGGATATTGTTACCCCCTCTGAATGGATCCCTGAAAATTGCTTGTGGGCTGTTGTATTTGATTAAGATACTCAACATTAATAAGAAATTTTGGAAAAGAACCGATCTTAAATATTTAAGAGTACAAAATTACCAGAAAATGAAACAAGATTTTAAGATAAGGGGAATAAAAAATAGATGCTTACTATAAGATAACTTCACTGTCTTGTCCAGGAGCTTGACCAGTGCTGGAACCATCATAGTTCCACTTGGGAAGATTCGAAGGGTCTTTAACCGGTCCAGAGAGAGTCTAAAGTCCAACATCATTTTATTTTTGCATTACTTACCAGCCAAATAAACAAAAGCTGAAATAAACATATACATTTTTCGTATTTTTCTGGAATTTGTACTCAGTTTCTTATAATTTGTAAACCATGAAAAAGTTCTACGGTTTTAAAAAAAAAGTCCAGTTTTATGGTTCGAAAAATAACGAACGAAGAGCATGGTCAAATAGTTAAAACAAATATTATTAAAATTGGAAAAATATAAAACATTTTTTTTCGGAAAATCATTTCGTTGTATGTTTTACGCGAAAATCATTTAATAAAAACATAACTGACTAGCGTTCTAAAGATATTGATTAAAAACTTCAAAAGAAAGATGCTGATTATGTAATTGAAAAGAGAATCTTTTTTAACTAAAAATTCGAGAAAAACAGATTTAAAACTCATAACAAAACATATTTTTACATATTCTAGCAGAAAAAAAATATTTTATTTTTAAAAAAATAGCCCGATAAAAACATATTTAAAAAAGAAGTTGTGGAGACCTAACCTGAAGTAAGCTGTTGATGAGGTACTCCATTGAAAAAGTTATTGAAACTATGTAGACTTTTTCTAGTAATTTTCAAACGATATTCCAAAATATTTATTGGACAAAAACAAATGCAATTTTCATCTTCTTTTTTTTGGTTACAAAAAGGTGAAGTAAATTACCCTAGCTTTGCTCCTCATGTCCATGCCAGATCCACCCACCCTGAATATAATGAAAATATTAAGCGCAGAGAAAGCAAATGAAAAAGTTCGAAAATAGGTCGTCATGGTAATCGAATTATATCATTCACATTGGACTCTGCAGTGAAAGAAAAAGAAACCACACGCGGAAGCTAAAAACATAAAACATAAACAGGGGAAACAGAGTAGTAATACAGAGACTAGAAGAGAGCACCACCGTGATCGATCAAAACGAAGATGAACAAAAATAAAACACACCCATTTGAAGAATGTTTCCATTATACATATATCCATGCACGTTGGAACAGATAGAGGCGTACATTGCAATGCTTGTTTTCACGTGCAGGGAAAACAGAGGACATGAGTGTGTAGGGAAAATCGAAGGTAACCAAGCACTTACCATATGTACTCGGCAATCACCTTCTCGGTGGAGCCTGAGATGTTAAGGTTGACAAGATCAGAGATTAACGACATCTTCAAGAAACAAAATCCTTCAGCGGAACTCTTCACACAAATTTTCTCCTTCTCTTCTTATCACCGCGTTGATACAAGGTTGTTGCCGCGAGTTTTATAGTGTGCGTTAATATTATCTTTGAATTTCGGAAATAAAATTAACAAATACTCCAAAATAATTTTTAAAGATAAATAATATTTTTTTGAGGAGAATGATAAACAGATCACGCTGTTCATGAGAGAGAAGGAAAAAGATAAGAATAGAATTTTTATAATTCAATACTGATTATTTATTTCTTGCATATTATGTTAACTAGCTTGACCTGTTACATATTTAAACCGCAAAGGTCATTTCATATATTTTTTAAACTAAATGGATATTAAATTTTATCTTTTTATCACTAATTACAAATATTTTAATCTCGTCCCTACCTTTAACTATTCTAACCAATATTAGTATATATTATTAGATTATCATAAATCATATTTTTTATTTCTATTTTTCTATCCAATACGTTTTCATTTAAATTTTAGATTTAAAATCAATAATTTAATCAAATTATTTATTATATTTAAATATAATATTATATTTATTTTTAAAAATTGTTTTACGAGTTTATTTATTATAATTATAATATATTTATAGTTTTCCAAAATTTATATTCTACTTTTTAATTATAAGATTACATAATTTACTTATGTATATCATATAAAGTTAAAATTATATACAATAGTTATTATAAAAAATAAATAATATTTTTTTATTATAATATAGTTAATATTTTTATAAATACATTTAAAAATTTATTTGATTTAGTTTGAATTTTATATTAAAATCAAAACTGAATTAAGTCAAATCGCATCTAGGCTTTATACGTGATTCATTTTTTATTTTTTTTAAATGAAAGTATAAACTAAATTGAATAGAAAATATATAAACAAAATGGGAATCTATTTAGCTTTAAATATATCTCTAGTTATAGTAATTCATATGCATCAACATATTAACATCATACTACGCCTGAAGCTATAATTATTTATTTGTTTATTATCTTTAATAAAATTATATTTACTTTATAAAGTTGAGAAAATTCAAGTTTGATCCGATAATGTTTTAAATAAATATAAATGAAAAGAATTACATTTTTATTTTATCTAAGATCCTAAAATTTTGAATTTAAAAATTTGATTTGGTTGTGTTAAAATTTTTTACTCCAACCATTATCACAATTATTTAAAAGAGAAAAAAAAACTTCACCTGAAGTGAAAAAAAAATCATAATCTTTAATATCACTTGAAAAATCTCTTCATTCAAAATAAGAATCAAACTATAAAAGCATAAATATATATGACAAAAGAGGATAAACCGGTTAATAAATATATACAACTTGCCAAAAATAAATACAAAAAAAATGTTTTTTTTTGTTTTGGTATTTAACTTACCAATCTAATAAATCATCCCTGAAATGATCAGTTGATATCATTCTTCTTCTTCTTTTAAATGCGAATATATTAAGTGTTTATAACCTTAGAAAATATATGTATTTTTTTTTTATGTTTGAAATGTTAGTATTATGGTGCTTGATTTAGTCCCACATCGATTAGGATTGTGAGATGAGGTTCTCTATTTTGTTATATAAGCAACCCTATGTAAAGTTTGAGATACACACAGAAATAAAAATTACTTCCTAGTGTAGTCGTGGACGTAGGCATACATATTTTAGCCGAACCACGTTAAAATTCTTGTGTCGTTTATTTTTCTCTCCTTCATTCTTTCCTTTATTATTGTCTTGTTCCTAACATGAAATAAGTGTTTGAAGTATTGTTTAAATTAAAATTATTTGCATAATACATTATTTGAATCTTTGTCTTCTATATTTTTCTTGTTTACTAGTTTATCAAGCATATTGCAATTTTTGGTGTTTCATGTGTATATAAACATTTTCATATAGACTTAGATCACAATTGACGAATGTTAAAATATGAGTGTCATAGCATATTTTTCAAAAGATTTTTTTTTTAATATTATTTTATTCTATTTCAGTTTAGATATAATATTGTTGAGTGCATAACTTCAAATGCTAGGTTAGAAATTCTGAGTTTTAAAAGATTGACCATTAAATAAGAGTTATCGACTTCTTTAATATTTTATTCTCCATTACTTTTGATTTTTTTTTATGTCTTTTTATTTATTTTGGAAATGTAATAATTACTGTTAAGTGGTAAAAAGTTGATATAATTATACCTTAAATTATTATAAAACCACTTAATTTATGTTAATTCTAATATATTTTTCTCCCAATATAGGACGAATTTGAGAATACCTTGATACAAGAGTAAGGAGCATAATTGTTAGCATAATTGGAGTAAGATTGAAAGAAAGAAGAGCGCCTAAGCGAATGAATAATGCAAGGCCCGACCCAAATTCTCTTATAAAAAGATAAGTTGTGTTTTGAGAAAGGGAAGCAGTCTTGGAGGAGAGGAGACACGACTACTGTTAGGGTTTTGTCCAATCTTCATCAATTCTTCTTCATCAATTGAAGCATTGTAATGGCCAACATGAGTTGCTAACTTCATTCTCTTAGGATTCGGTGCACTTCCTTTGAACTTTTTTGTATCATGGTGATATTTTGATATATTAATCTATGCTTTGATGTTGTTATTCTTATCCTTTATGCTTTGGAATGATTTATTCTTGATTGTTTGAGGTATGATTGGAAAATATATCTTGAACCCTAGATCACGATAAGAATATTTGTTACGTTAATTGTCAGGAATGAAATGAATGTATCAATTGTTTAACACCCTAACCCTAATGCTGGAAAATCTGTTAATTGTGTGAGGAATCAACATTTATTAGGTTTTCTTATGAATTTCATGTGTGAGGAATCAACATGGATGATTTGAGTAGGTGGCATCAACATTGTTAGGTTAATTGACGTTCTTAATTGATTTAGTCATTACAAAAGAGAGATAAGGAAGGAAGTCAATCCTAAGTACCTTTAATTGATATTTTCTCAACACTTTACAAGTCTTTGTCATTTAATTTCAATTCAAATTTTATTTGCAAAACCTAATTTGTTTTAATCTACTTAGTAAGCATAATTGGGAATTTCCATTGAAACTGTTCCTCGTGGGATCGACTTTTATTTAATCGAAATACTATACTGCGATTGATAATTTGGTACGCTTGCCAATAATTCAACAAGTATTTCTGGCGCCATTGCCGGAGAACGATGTTCTTTGAGAATTCTTTGTTTAGCTTATTGAGTATTTTATTTTTATTTCTGTTTTTTTATTATCATTATCATTATTATAATCATTATTATTATTATCATTATTATTATTATCATTATTATCATTATCATTATCATTATCATTATTATTATCATTATCATTATTATTATTATTATCATTATCATTATCATTATCATTATTATTATTATTATTATTATTATTATTATTTAGTTTTTAGTTTGTGCTAATATTTGCTTGAGTTACTCTTTTGATTTATGCGTTTAAAAGGATAGGTATCTTCAGAAGAAGGGAAACTCAAGAACAAACTACAAGAGAATCTGTTAATTCTTCTTTCACACTTGATTTACCAAACCCAATTATAGAAGATATGGCGGAAGAAGGAGAAAATCCAAATCCAGATCCAAATACAAATTCAAATCAAAACCCAAATGCAAATCCACCTAGAAGAACTCTTAGAAATTGTGCTATGCAGCAAGGTCCAAGATATTTTTCCAGCATTGTCATTCCGGATGATCATACATTGCAGATGAATCCAGCTTTCTTAAGCTTGATTAGTGCTCATCAATTCACTGGATTGGATCATGAAGACCCTTATATTCATTTGTCTACTTTTTATGAGTTGATTGGTACCATGAGATTTAGAGCAGCAAATCTTGAATCTGCATATTTGATATTATTTCCTTTTTCTTTGGCAGTTAGGGCAAAAGAATGGCTGAAAGCACATCCTAATCAGAGTTTGACTAATTGAAGTAGTGTAGAAGAGAAGTTTCTGAACAGATTTTTCCCACCATCCCGCTACATCAAAGCCAAATCTGACATCACTTCTTTCAAACAAGGAGCAGATGAGCAATTTTGTGAAGCATGGGAGAAATTTAAATCACTGTTGAGAAGTTGCCCAAATCATGGATTTGATGACGTTTCTTAGTTGAATATTTTCTATACTAGCTTGCGACATGATGCAAAGATGTTATTAGAGGTTGCAGCAGGAGAATCTATGTTGGATGTAGAAATTGATCATGCCACCAGAATTATTGATACACTAGCCTTTACAGACCAACAGGCCCAACATGATAGACATCCAATTCAAAGGAAAGGAGTCCTTGAACTTAACACCACAGATGCCCTCTTAGCCCAGAATAAAATTTTGACCCAACAAATTGAAGCATTGAACCAAAAAATAGAGAAATTACCTCATCAAATGCACACAGTACAAATTATTCCTAATCAACAGATGAGTTGTGATCTGTGTGGAGATGATCATTCAAATGAACAATGCTCTTATCAAGGCAACATTCAGCAAGAAGAAGCTAATTATATGGGGGCCCAAGGTAATAGTCAAGGCAGACAAGGTAATTTTCCTAATCTCAATAATTATCAGAATAATTTTGCACAAGGATGGAGAGGGAATCAAAATCAGAATAAAAATTTTGGGTGGAAACAAGGACAACCTGCATTTCAACAACAGTCATATCAGCAACCTCCATATCAACAGCAGCAACAACATTATCCTTCAGTGTCTGACAGAATAAGTAAATTGGAGGATATTGTAGAAAAATTTATGCAAAGCACTATGGTTAATCAGAAAAATACTGAGGCTTCATTTAGAAATATAGAGACCCAAATAGGCCAACTGGCTAAGCAATTATCTGAGCAGCAACAAGGAGGACATTTTTCAGCTAACACACAAACCAATCCAAAGGAGCAATGCAATTCAATAACTACAAGGAGTGGAAAAGTTGTAGGTAAGGGGATTTGTGACAATATAGTTGTTGAAGAAGAAGTTTTGGTAAAAGAAGATGAAAAGCAAGAAGATGAGAATAATAAAGAAAGACATATTCCTAATAAGAAGAACGAAGAGAAGATAGAAAAAGGAGGGAGTAAAAAACCATTTGTAGAGAAGTTACCGTATCCCAAGGCTCCTTCACAAATAGATAAAGAAAGACAGTTTGCAAGATTCATGGATATTTTCAAGCAATTGTAAATTAATATATCATTTGTGGAAGCTATGGAGCAAATGCCAACATATGCCAAATTCATGAAAGAGCTCTTAACTAAGAAAAGAAGATTTACTGATGAAACAGTAGAGTTAGAGGCAGGATGCAGTGCTATATTCCAAAAATCATTGCCTCAAAAGTCCAAGGACCCTGGAAGTTTCACTATACCAGTCACAATTGCTGAATTACCGATGAAAAAATCATTGCTTGATTTAGGGGCCAGTATAAACCTCATGTCATTATCTATGCTCAAAAGAATAGGAGACTTGGAAGTAAAGCCTACAAGAATGACATTGCAACTAGCTGACAGATCTCTAAAGATTCCTTATGGAGTAGCAGAAGATGTTTTAGTTAGAGTGGACAAATTCATATTTCCTGTTGATTTTGTGATTATGGACATGGAGAAAAATGAGGAAGTCTCATTGATCCTGGGAAGACCATTTATGAAGACTGCCAAAGTAATTATAGATGTTGACATGGACAAGTTGAAAATTAGAAGTGAAGATGATGAAGTTAATTTTAATCTGTTTGAAGCTGCACAACAACCGGAAGACAAAAAAGATTGTCTCAGAATAGAAACTTTGGAGGAATTAACCATCTTAACTAAAAAACAAGATTACAAGCGTGTTGCACAATCCCAAAAACATCTTAGTCTGACTATGAAGGAAGTTATTCAAAGAGAGGTACTGAAACTTCTTGAAGCAGGTATGATTTATCCAATCTCTGACAGTTGTAAGGTTATTCACAATGAAAAGAATAAATTCGTTCTCACAAGGACAGTTAAGGGATGAAGAATGCGTATATATCACCTTGATCACTCACCTGCATGAGCCCTAAAGCAAATAGGCGTCAAGCTGAAGACGTTAAACAAGCGCTCCTGGGAGGCAACCCAATATTTTGAATTTGTTTTTCTTTTTGCAGTTTAAGTTTTTTTGTGAATTTTTCTTCCTTAGGTTCTTTCTTTGCAAGATTGCTCCAGGTACACAGTGCACTTCTCCTCAAGACTTTGAAGCCTTACTTCAATAGTCTGGGGACAGTCCAACTTTTCTGGAGGGGGTGAGAAAGTCTGCAACTGAGGCTGAGGCACAAGATAAGGAGTATATGACAAGTGAAGAAAATGAGGGAGGAAACTTACTTTACTTTTAATGTTTTTAATTCCTTTGTTTTTAATTTAATGTTTTTAATTGCTTTATTTTAAATTTTAAATTCCCTTGTTTTCCCATAATTTGTTTTAGAGCCATATATGAAATTATTTCTTATTGTCTAATTCAAATCTAGAACATGAAAAATAATTTTGATTGTTTCCAATAACAAGTGATTTTGGGATATTGAGTATGATAGTGAAAAGGAATTGATGAGGAAAATTAGGAATTAACTGAATTGGAGAAGCTAGCCAAAGCCCAGGTGAGCAGAGTACCACAAACAGATAAATTGAGTGTCAACACTTTGTGATGATAACTGATATTGGTTGATTCTTTGATGTGATTACATGTTAGCAAGACTTGAAAATGATAAAGGCATTTTTTCTTTGTAGTAGACATAACCTAGAGCCAAATAGCCAACCATGCATTAATTATAGGACATCCATTTGAACCCTTTCTGAGCCAAAAAAAATAATATTGTTTCTTAAACAGAACCCTTAAGCCTAAACACTATTTATCTACCTTCCTATATTTGAGAAAGGAAATGAATATGAATGTCACTATTTTTCTTATTGTTGGGTATTGCTATTGTTGTCCTACAGGTATTGTTGGGGTGTTATTGTAAAAAAAAAAAAAAAAAAGTGAAAGCAAAGCTTAAAAATTTGCAAAGTCGAAAAAAAAAGATACATGCAAAAAAAAAAAAAAAAAAAAAAAAACAAAAGCGGGGTAATAACTTGTGAGATTATTAACTCATTGTCATTGTGTTAGGGACAAAAGCATAAAGTTTGAAACCTGACTTGAGGAATTGTTAATCAAGAATCATTCATATGAGTTGAATTTCTCAAATATTTTTGTATATCCCAGAAAAACCAATAACTCTTTCTTAGCCCAACCCCATTACAAGCCTCAAAAAACCTTTTGATTTAAGTCTTTTTTAACAATTGTTGATTGCTTGAAGATGATTATCAATATTGGATTGTCTAAATGAAGTGATTGAATGAGATAAACACTTACCTGTGAGAATTAGAAATGAGTATATATAACTCTATTTGAGAGATCATGCTTCTCTGAGGATAGTTGAGGACTAATTATTCTTTGTTGGTTTCTATAACTTGAATGCTTATGTGTTCTATTTTCATTTGGAGTTGTGAGCATCACCTCTGAAAATTTTTATGTTGTGGTTCTAGAAGAGAAAAAGATAATAGGTGATGATTTTGTTTTGGAAAAACTACTTTGCTTGGGACAAGCAAGATTCTAGGTTGGGGGGAGTTGTTAAGTGGTAAAAAGTTGATATAATTATGCCTTAAATTGTTATAAAACCACTTAATTTATGTTAATTCTAATATATTTTTCTCCCAATATAGGACGAATTTGAGAATACCTTGATACAAGAGTAAGGAGCATAATTGTCAGCATAATTGGAGTAAAATTGAAAGAAAGAAGAGCGCCTAAGCGAATGAATGATGCAAGGCCCGACCCAAATTCTCTTATAAAAAGATAAGTTGTGTTTTGAGAAAGGGAAGCAGTCTTGGAGGAGAGGAGGCACGACTACTGTTAGGGTTTTGTCCAATCTTCATCAATTGAAGCATTGTAATGACCAACATGAGTTGCTAACTTCATTCTCTTAGGATTCGGTGCACTTCCTTTGAACTCTTTTGTATCATGGTGATATTTTGATATATTAATCTATGCTTTGATGTTGTTATTCTTATCCTTTATGCTTTGGAATGATTTATTCTTGATTGTTTGAGGTATGATTGGAAAATATATCTTGAACCCTAGATCACGATAAAAATATTTGTTACGTTAATTGCCAGGAATGGAATGAATGTATCAATTGTTTAACACCCTAACCCTAATGCTGGAAAATCTGTTAATTGTGTGAGGAATCAACATTTATTAGGTTTTCTTATGAATTTCATGTGTGAGGAATCAACATGGATGATTTGAGTAGGTGACATCAACATTGTTAGGTTAATTGACGTTCTTAATTGATTTAGTCATTACAAAAGAGAGATAAGGAAGGAAGTCAATCCTAAGTACCTTTAATTGATATTTTCTCAACAATTTACAAGTCTTTGTCATTTAATTTCAATTCAAATCTTATTTGCAAAACCTAATCTGTTTTAATCTACTTAGTAAGCATAATTGGGAATTTTCATTGAAACTGTTCCTCGTGGGATCGACTTTTATTTAATCGAAATACTATACTGCGATTGATAATTTGGTAAGCTTGCCAATAATTCAACAATTACTCCTTACGAACTTTATTATTTATCTTTGGTTTCAATTTCATGCAATCAACGTCAACACAACAGAGAAAAGGTTGTAAAGAATAAGAATCTCCATTGAAGTCTTCGTGGACCTTATATATATCCATATCCAACCTTATGAGAGTGAGGTTTTAAAATGGTTTGACTTTTTCTAAAGCGTTCATAATTTTTGTGTATTATTTTGAACATGCTTCATGTGATTCCTTTCTATATAGTACTTGTAATGTTTCCTTTATGTGCTCTTTGTGACACCCTCATGCATATGGTTTCTAATTTAGTTGTGTATTGTGTAGTATATAATATGTTTTTCATTTTTTATTAATATATTCACCAATATCATAAATTTCATCTCAAGTTAATCTTATTTGGTTAAAAGATAAATAAAAATCTAAAATAAAAATTGAGGCAAATATACATTTTTAGAACATTTTCGTAAGCTAAAATGATAATCTTTTTAGTGATTAGAATAAAGTAATTAATTTCTAATCCTTATTCCTCTATTGAAATCATGTTATGGAATTTATAACATACATTATAGAAGTTGAAATTAAAAATAACTTATAAATAACTTATTTTCTTAATTGATTAAGATTTTCTAAAAATAAAATTGAAGTAAATTATAATCCAAAATGATAATATCTTAAATTATTATTCTTTTGTTTTCATGTTAACAAATAATTTTACCAATTTTATCTAAACAATCTATAATCTTATACCTCGTTTACATTACATCCTATCATAATATAGTACAGTGTACAATTTTTTTCAATATATTATTTAGTTAAATTAATGTTTAATCCTTACATTTAACAATATTTTTATATTTAATTTCTGCATTTAAAGACTCCACCACGTTTTAATTCTTATGTGAAAAATTGTTGATGAACCAATCCCTTTGTCAAGATAACAACAAAAATGGTAGAATTTTCTGAGCTAATGATGTTAAATAAATAAATAAAAAGTTATTCCTCTATTTGGTATTAATGTTCTTGTAGTTCATACATGCAAAAAACATTTAGTCTTAATTTTTGTCTTTATATAAAAAATAAATCTATGGATGATTCATTAATTTGGTCCTTATATAAAAGACAATTCATTAAAATTTAATCTTACTATATACAAGTTATTTTGGTCTTTACATATTTATAAGGGAAAAAAAAATTACTCTGCGTTTTGATCCTCACATAAAGAACAATTCATTAAAATCCAAATTTAATTATGTTAACTTTAACAAATTGTATAAACTTTTTGCACTAAGAATAAAAAGGTAACATTTTCATTTGTAAAGACTAAAATCAAAAGTTATATCTGAGGGAGAAGGAGAATAAATTATAAAGTTAATCTTTTGTTACCAACTTATTTTTCCCAAAATAAATGAAAGTGAAGGAGAAGAGAGAACCTTTAATACATCAAAAGAAAGTTTATTCCTTCAAGGAATAACACATGTCATTATTAATATCTCATTTCAAATAATGTTGACATTATTTTTAATTATCAACATTTTTGTTTTCAGAAAGTTAAAGTATTTCTAAACTATTTTTAGATATATATTTTTAATTGAGTACACATATATTTATTTACAATTATATACATTTTGTTAAACAATTTTATATTTACCTAATTTGTATTCACGCGATATAATACTTGCTACTCAATATGCCTTTGTTGCAGAAAAAACTTTTTTATTTTATTTTATTTTAATGTGTATACTTTGTTTAATATCAAAAGGCAAATGCTATAACGTAATGGTTAAGTAAATAAAAGCTGCAATTAGTACTATAAAACAAATTCTTTTAATTTTTCAACACTGTTTTATCCTTTTTTTAATTTTATTTTGTGAAACTATTGGTTTTAATAATAATAAAAAATGTCCCACTTAAAAAAAAACAAATTTAAAACTAAAAAAAATGATAAAATGAAATTAAAATAAATAATGAAAAAAAATTGTTCGCAGTGTGATTCATAAACTAATTGTGTTCAAAGTAATATGATTTTTTATTGTTTAATGACCTTTTATACACAATATTGATAGGAATCAAATACTTCACTATATAAATTATTTCTACAACATGTGAATGCAAAAGGACTAATAACTAGTTCATATTTACATTAATTTACTTGCTTGATTTTAATTATTTAAAATTCATACTAGTTATATCAGTCTATTTTAATTCTTTAAATAGCCTTATGTGAAGTAAACCACCTTTAACCCTTCTCACCATTGAAAATAAATATATTTAAAATTTGAAAGGTAGTGTAACTTGAGTTTTAATATCAATATATATTTAAAGATTAAAATGAAAATAAATAATCAACTTTAGAGATTTATTTGATCCCTTAGAAACATATTTTGAATTTGACTAAATTACAAATTCGATTCCCTTTGAAAATCTTCTGCAATTTTGATGTCTTTATTATATTTTTCATGAATTTAATTTTGCATACATTTTATGTTTAGTTGATTATACTAATATTGCAAATATCTTAAATAAATATATAAGAAACATTTGTGTCAAAACAAAAGAACAAAAATACAAATGTTTAAAATTTAAACTTGATTTTTGTTTTAAGTTTTAAGCATGAATATAACAAAACCTTTACATTTTGAAAAAGCAAAATAACACCAATAACACGCATGGATATAATGAGTATGAAGGTGACTTATCTTGTCATCTCTTGAGCGATTAAGATTTGACTACTTATAATAAACATCCAAACCAACTTTTTGGTGAGGATGGAAAAGAAACCAAACTTGATTTGATATGGGTAGTGCTAGGGTGACTCGAACAGCCCCACAGGCGCATGCACCGTGTTCAACATCTATCTATGGAACTTATGCCCTAGAATTTATTGAAAGTAACCAATATCTTTGCACTTTTTAGCTTTCCCGATGCCAAGATTAGAGGCTATCATAAACCTATCAAAACATCACACATGCTTTCTCTCTTCTCTTGGAGCCCCATAATGTGTAGCATCTACTTGTGTCCCATTTTTGGCAGCCTTTGATTATAGTCTTTTCCACTCTTGCTATTCATAGTTACTGTTCATAATGATTCACAGATTCTTCTTCTTCTTCTTTGAGCTGTTTACAACCGTTGTCTGGTTTCCCCTAATGTAAGGCTACTGTAACATTGAGGAACCTATTCTCTGCCGAAAATGTTCCTACACCTCCACCATTCATTTTTTTTCATCTGCATCTTAACCACACACTACAAATTCTCCTTCATCGAGATCGTTTTATGACTGCATGTTTTCGGCTATATGTTACGTGCAACCTTTTGCCCTAGTATCACACTTTGCTTTTAGTTTATGGTCGAGTATGGGCAAATATATTTTTAGCTTTTCAAGGGAATATATGCATCTGCAGGAAACTTCGTTACCATAATATATATATATATATATATATATATATATATATATATATATATATATATATATATATATATATATATATATATATATATATACACGCGCGCAAGGTATCAGAGGAAATACAGATTATTCATCATAAAAAATCAGTTCAATGTATATCGGTTAAATATTTTTAATAAAATATATTTTTTATTTAACAACTATGATAGAGATATATATTTAATACAATTAAAATAAAATTTGACCTATTATTTCATTAAAATTTTTATTATTATTATTATTAAAAAAATTATGACTAATAAAAAAATATGAATGGTAAGATTTATGATATATATATATATATATATATATATATATATATATATATATATTAATGATACTTACAGATCTACATGTCCTAACATAAACTAATAGTTTCTTTAATTGAAATTATTAAAAACTTAACAACGTATGAAAAATGGACATAATATTTTAATTGTATTTTTATAATAACTATATTCAAAAAATATTTTTCTATAAATATAGTTTATATTAAAAATAACATCACCGAAAATTAAACTCTTAAAACATATGAAAAAAATATGAAATGTTTAAGTAAAAAGAGAATTGGATCTATGCATGGCTCTCAATTATATAGCTACTGTATATCATGAAAAAATAAATAAATGTTATTTCTTGAGAATTAGTTTCTATATGTCATAATTTTGGTCAGACTAATTGGTTATAATAAAATATTAGGTAGTGCATTCAAGAATACTTCATAAAAAGAATATATATATATATATATCATAATCTCTAGCAGCGCTCTTTGTATGACTTGGCAGAAACTATTTGTAATTAAAGGTTTAAAATATTAATGGAATTCAATGTATATATGAGATAAGTGTTCCATTCTTTAAGATAAAATTAATGGACTTGTTCATTTGATGTATGTATAAACATTTTTCAAAATTAAAGCAATGTTATTTATTTATTGAGTGCTGATTGATAAATACCAAACAAAATATATTTATTTAATCCTTCTCATCTTTTATCATAAAAGTAATTTATTAGCTTTAAATTTAAATTAATAGTATCAAATAATAAGTAGTGGGTAAGTGTTTAGCACAACGAGGTACATGTATCATTTTCCTTATTTATTTATTGTCCAAGACGAATCTGACCATTTCATGGCTGCATATTACAATTTTGCATTAACCTAATTGGGCCTCTCATCATGTAGGCTTGTTTGCTGCCATGATCCATATTGTTTTGGGCCACCAACATGAATGCTTTTGAGTGTCCCAGGAGAGTTACTATTCTTCACACTTTCATTTTGCTTCACGAACTCTGCAACTTTTTCCTTCGCTTTTTTTGACAAAAAATAATACTCTTTCCGGAATTTATATTTAAAAAGCTTGACCCACCGCTAATAACAGTATTATCGAAACTAGTTTCTAATGTAGTAATTTAATTTTTTATTTAATAATTTAATATTTTTATGAGTTGAAAAACTTAATAATAATCTATTTAATTTAGTTAATTTAACATTTTAATTTAGCAGTGTCAAGAAATCCTCTACACTTTTGGACATAATGTGCAAATAGATTATAATAATGATAATAATAAAGATGCTGTTATGGTTTTATGAGGATGGTTCTAAGAGCCAAACGAAATATATAGCTAGCTATGAGATTAGCTATAAGAAACAGCATGCATAGCTTCCAATTAGGTTGAATACTCTAACACCTTGCTTTGTTATAATGTTGGGTGTTGCTGCTTTTACGTGGTTTTGTTTGATTTCAAAACATGAATGCATGGGTTCGTAAAATAATGGATTTTTCTAATGTCTAGGTTTACTCATATAGGTCTTTGCACCATACTCTGCTTATCACATGATAACTTGTGTTTCAGGAACAAATTCTTCCAAAACCAACTAGAGTACGGAACTACTGCAGCGCTTACAGTAAACAAGAGAAACGGGAAAACAAAGATAAATAATATAGACTCCATATGTTTCAAACATTTTACTCCCATTAACACCCCAAATTCTAATTTTATCCAAGCTCCTATCTTTCTTTATTTGTTTCTTTTCTCGTGACCTAATAGGAAAAACCACGCCAGTAAAAAAATAATTCAAGATAGAGAATGATACTTGTCCAGAAAAGACAAGTTTTTTCCACCACGTGCCTTAATTTTCTTGAGAGAACAATGACATGTGATTTCTATTTGTCAATTGTTGTAACAGTACAATGGATGGTCTAACAATCAAAAAAGTTATTAGATAGATTGAATCTTTGGTGACTTCTATTAATCTCTCTACACGACATAGTATTATTACTTTTTTAATTGCGAACTAAAATACATGTAAGGTAATATAATTGATTAAGAATGATGTAGGAACTTTCTTAACAACCATTATTAATTCAACCGTTCCTACCGATGCAGAAAATAGACACAGGGCAGAGCACTGTAAAAAAAGGGGAACAATCTGGATAGTTTGGATTCCTTTCAAAGGTTGTAGAAGTTGGCCAACTAATCCTCAGAAGACTTGGTCTCCAAAGTTGGTTAGTGATGGAGGTCATCGAGAGCACACCAAATATCCAAACGCCAAAGACAAAACCATTGCCCTCACCCATTTCTTTTTGCACATCACCAAAACCATAGGACCCATATTCCATTTGCAAACAATTTATGGTTCTCATGGCCTCATTTCTTTAAGTCTGGTCTTTTAATGAACGCCATCTTGAATTTCTTTTTATTATGGAGACCGCCACCGACCTACCATTTCAAGTCCTTGTCCTGTCCTGTCCCCTCCCTTGCACTTTCGTTTTCTCGTTTCCATTATCACTGATACGAAGTTGAGTTCACTGAAACAGTCACATCACCGCGAACCAAAAAACCAAACTAACTTGCAATGTTACTACTGAACAAGGGAAGCAATATGACTACATATGAAAGTATCCTTTGCGTGTAAGTAACATATTTTTGTTACCATCAAATAATTCGTACCTTCACATAACTGACATAATTACGTCTCGCTACTGTAGTTATCTTCCTAGAGCATTCAATTTCATTGGCAACGTAGACCAATGAGTGAGCTCAACTTAGTTGCGAATAATAAAAATGAATAGTGAAATACTATTTAGACAAATAAATATAGACTTTACAGTGCGAATTGCAAAATGATGCACGAAATCTCGGGCAGAAGATGTGCTATAACAGTAACAGTTAGGTGGAAGGGAATATAAAGCACGCTTTATACGTAACTCAAAGCACTGATAATGATGCTATGTGGCCAGTGCTAAGTGATTGTAATCAACTGCAGAAAACTTTAATAGCCGAGGTCTTTTGACACCTTGAGACAACAAAAATAGTTTAGTCTTTATAGAGTGAAAAGATTGATCTATAGACTATATACCATGCTTATGTGATAAACATAGAATATATATAGAATATACGATTATAAATATCGTATCAGGTCATGATTTTACATGATTATTTTTTCCATATTTAGCTTGGCATGACAGTGATGCACATTAATTTCATATCTGTTAATAGACAAATTTAGGATACCGACTATAATGGTTAGCGTAATTATAGCCTAGAACGTTTCTGTATTTCATGTATATATTGTGCTATCATATTCAATACAAGGCAGGGGTTTTCGGAAATATTTTATCATGGTATCAGAGCTAACCAAACTCTGATATCCAACAGCCCGAGAACACAGTCGTACTTCTAAAATGGCAGAGAGAGGAGAAGCGGTGAAGAAAACACCATCGCCATACGATCTGAGTGCCAGTGATAATCCTGGAAATGTGATTACACAGGTACAATTACGAGGAGAGAATTACGAGGAATGGGCAAGAGCCGTGAAGATATCTTTACGGGCTCGAAGGAAATGGGGTTTCATAGATGGAACTCATAAGGAACCTGAAGAAGACACATCTGAGATAGAAGATTGGTGGACAATTCAATCGATGCTTGTATCTTGGATACTAAACACTATAGAACCTAGTTTGCGTTCCACTGTTGCATACATGGAAAACGCAAAGGACCTATGGGATGACATCAAGGAACGATTCTCGATCGTGAACGGACCAAGAATCCAGCAGCTAAAGTCAGAGTTGGCAGAATGCAAACAACAAGGAATGACTATGGTTTCCTATTATGGGAAGTTGAAAACGTTGTGGGATGAACTAGCAAATTACGAGCAAATCCCACAGTGTAGATGTGGGGGATGCAATTGTAATATTATGACGCAACTTGAGAAACGAAGAGAAGAAGAAAAAATTCATCAGTTCTTGATGGGGCTAGATGATGAGGGCTATGGAACTGCACGATCAAATGTTTTGGCAACAGATCCATTACCCTCGTTGAATCGGGTGTATGCCACCATGGTGCAAGAAGAAAGGGTGAGAACAATCACCAGGTCTAAAGAAGAGCGAAGAATGATCGTGGGAATGGCTATGCGAGCGGAAACCAGGAACAAGTTGCGCAATGAAGCGAAAGAAAAATCAGTTGTCTGCATGCAGTGTGGAAGGAAGGGACATGACAAAGGCAATTGCTTCGAGATCATTGGTTACCCAGAATGGTGGGGAGAGAGACCACGAACCGATAGAAACGATGGAAAAAAAATCAACAAAGAACAGGAACCTTCCGAGGGAAAGGAGGAACGGCTCGCGTCAATATGGCGCACACCGGTGCGGATAACGTTGGTTCAACCGAAAAACCGAAGTAGCGGGACCGAGTAATGAGCAATGGCGAGATCTTGACAAGCAATGTTGAATTCTCGCAAGGCAAATGAAACTGAAAAGATGACTGGTAAGAAAGCATGTGACTTGTGGATTATTGATAGTGGCGCCTCTAATCATATGACAGGAACACTAGAAAACTTGAGGGAGAGTCGAGCCTTGGAAGGGTGCCCGAGTGGGACTACCAAATGGTGAATTGGTGCTGGCAAACAAAGAAGGATCAGTTTTCCTTGATGGAGGACTGAAACTTAAACATGTTCTATATGTTCCGAAATTGAATTGCAATTTGATTTCGAGTGTCACAATTGACGAATGAAGTAAAATGTACAAGTACATTTTATCGATAGATTTTGTGCAATGCAGGACCACAATTCGAGGATGCCGATTGGAGCGGGTGAACGAAAAGAGGGACTCTATTGGTATCGTGGTGTGAGTGGCATAAAGGCGTATCAGACCAATGCAGAAAATCAACTAGAGATTTGGCACAAGCGAATGGGACATCCTACCTACCAGATTGTTAGAAAAATTCCGCATCTGAACAGCGTAAATAAAAATACGGATACAACTCGTGTGTGTGAAGTGTGTGAGAGATCAAAGCAATGTAGAAACACATTTCCTTTAAGTGATTTTCAAGCATCCAATATATTTGATTTAATACATTGTGATTTGTGGGGTCCATATAGAACTCCCTCGTCTTATGGTGCATCTTACTTTCTCACTTTGGTTGATGACTGTTCTCGAGCTGTGTGGATATATCTCTTGAATAATAAGAAAGATGTGTCACAAACCTTAAAGCATTTCATCGCTTTAATAGAACGACAATACGAGAAACAAGTCAAAATATTACGAAGTGACAATGGAACTGAGTTTATGTGTCTTCAACGATATTTTCAGCAACATGGGATACTCCATCAAACCTCATGCACTGGAACACCTCAGCAAAATGGGAGAGCCGAACGAAAACATCGACACATCCTAAATGTAGCTCGTGCTCTACGATTTCAAGGAGAACTTCCACTTCAATTCTGGGGAGAATGCATTTTGACCGCAGGATACTTGATCAATCGTACACCCTCAACCGTTCTCCATGGAAAAACTCCATATGAAATATTGAATGGGAAGCCACCCACTTATGACCATCTACGGGTATTTGGATGCTTGTGTTATGCACATAACCAAGATAGGAAAGGTGACAAATTTGCAAGTAGAAGTCGCAAGAATGTATTTGTTGGATATTCAATCGGACAAAAGGGTCGGAAATTGTTTGATCCGGAAAGAGAAGTCTTCTGGACTTCGAGAGATGTTAAGTTTGTAGAACATGAATTCCCGTTTGCCTCTCTTGCCCACAGTAGACATTCGGAGGTAGGATTGCCTACTGTTGATGTTGGCATTGTCGAGGAAGCATTGCCTGGACTTGGTGCAATGAACAATGCGGAACACGTTGTGGAGACCGATAACGTTAATCCCACAACGGAAGATGTGCCCACAACCGAGTTCGGGGAGGGCCACGCCGAACAAGAGCCTCCCACCCGGATCGTTCTCCCACCGGAACAAACCGACTCTATGATGACAAGTAAAGGTTCCCGAGGAGCATACTGTCCCCGCATCCCCGGGGAAAGGTCTTCGTGTACGAAAGCCATCTCGTGAAGCTTCGTGATTATGTCACTAACGCCACTTTACAACTCGGTCCCTCAATTCGCACTCCACATTCAGCTTCCTCGGGTATGCCTTACAGTTTGACAAAGTACTTAAATTGTGCTAAATTCTCCTTCCCCCACCGAACCTTTCTTGCAGCCCTTCATGCGGAGCGAGAACTCTGTGCATTTCTTTGAAGCCGTTCGGGATGTTAGATGGAGAGATGCCATGGCTAGTGAAATTCAGGCCCTCCAAAGTAATGAAATATGGGACATTACTCCTCTACCGCAGGGAATAAGCCTCCGGGTTGCAAGTGGATTTATAAAATCAAATATCATTCGATGGGAGCGTTGAACGCTTCAAAGCCCGATTAGTTGTCTTGGGAAATCACCAAGTTGAGGGGATTGACTATGACAAGACCTTTGCCCAGATGGCAAAGATGGTCACCATTCGGACGAGTGTTGGCAGTGGCGGCAGCCAAAGACCGGGAACTCCATCAAATGGATGTCCATAACGCTTTTCTGCACGGTGATCTTGAGGAAGCTGTGTACATGAAAATGCCGCCAGGGTTCTTGGTGTCTTAAAAGGGTATGGTGTGTCGTCTCCGCAAGTCCCTTTATGGTCTTCGTCAAGCTCCTCGGTGTTGGTTTGCCAAGCTCTCAACTGCTCTTGTTCAATATGGGTTTCAACGTTCTTCGTCTGATCACTCCTTGTTCATCTTTCGCAAAGGGGATGTCGAACTGGTTGTGTTAGTTTACGTGGATGACCTAGTCATTGCAGACAATCATCATGAAGACATTGCGCAATTCAAAGATTATCTTCATCAATGTTTTCATATGAAGGACTTGGGGAAATTAAAATACTTTCTTGGGGTGGAGGTTGCCAGATCTCCTACAGGAATTTTCTTGTGTCAACGAAAGTATGCGTTGGACATCATAGCTGAAGCAGGATTGCTTGGAGGGAAACCTATGTCCACGCCAATCGAAGAAAACCATCGTTTAGCATTGGCTGATGGCGAACTACTTTCTGACCCGAGTCAATATCGACGTCTCGTCGGTCGCCTTATTTACTTGTGTTTTACACGACCTGAATTATCTTACAGTGTTCATGTCCTATCTCAATTCATGCACCAACCGCGTCAGGAGCATTGGCGGGCTGCACTTCGCGTGGTACGCTATTTAAAGGGCAGCCCAGGCCAGGGTGTGCTTTTAAAAAGAGAGAGTGACCTTCGTCTTTATGGTTGGTGTGACTCGGATTGGGCAAGTTGTCCTCTCACTCGAAGATCTCTCACCGGTTAGTTTATTTTCCTTGGTCAATCCCCCGTTTCCTGGAAAACCAAGAAGCAACATACGGTTTCACGATCATCCGCTGAGGCAGAATATCGTTCTATGGCCAACACGACATGTGAGTTGAAATGGCTTCAAGGCCTTCTTTCGAGCCTAGGCATTACTCACACCGACCCTATGACTCTCTACTGTGACAACCAAGCTGCCCTTCACATTGCCAAGAATCCTGTGTTTCATGAACGGACAAAACATATTGAAGTGGATTGTCATCTTATTCGTGATGAAATACAACACAATCATATACAACCCTCCTATGTGTCCACTCATCATCAACTGGCTGATCTCTTCACCAAATCTCTTGGCGCCACTAAATTTGGTTCCTTTTTAGGCAAGTTGGGCATTCATAACCTTCATACTCCATCTTGAGGGAGGGTGATAAACATAGAATATACATAGAATATACGATTACAAATACCGTATCAGGCCATAATTCTACATGATTATTTTTTCCATATTTAGCTTGGCATGACAGCGATGCACATTAATTTCATATCTGTTAATAGACAAATTTAGGATACCGACTATAATGGTTAGCGTAATTATAGCCTAGAACGTTTCTGTATTTCATGTATATATTGTGCTATCATATTCAATACAAGGCAAAGGGTTTTCGGAAATATTTTATCATTATGGTTCAAAAATACTATATCTTCATGATATGTATATGGTGGATAGAATTAAAAGGTGAGGGTCAATGAATCTCCTAATAAAGTGGTTCTGTTCTACTACTCAATTTAAAACGAGTTTTAAATACTAAGGATATAATTAAGAAAAAAAAAACAATAAACCAGGTATTGTTTGTTGCATTGTTGCACTATATCTTACATCTTTAATGGATGAACTTTAGAAATCAAGAGTAGAGTTTAAAACTTGATTTTTTATTGTTATCTTGTAAATCTTATTAATTTCTCTATATAAGAACTCAATTTGATCTTGTCATCTCTTCTACTACCGGATCTTGAAAATAAGAATCTTATACTCAATATTAATTTGATAATAAAACTTATCCACAAACCAATGCTACTAAACACTCGTTTATAACTTTATTATTGGCAAGAACACATTATAATATCATAGCTAACGTTTATTGCTTCCCATTCTAATTCCAATTCCCAAACTATTTACTTAAAAGTATATTTTCTTAATGAAATGATACAATTTCTATCTTATATTAAGAACATATAGATCAAGTAGGTTTTTCTCTCGCGTAAATGATCTTTGTGGTCTCAATCTACACCACATCATAAAATAACCAAGCCATTACATGAAACTGTCCTTCATCAGCCATTAATTTTCTAAATATTGAACATATATAGAAAAGCTTTGATTGTATATATATAATATATATTATAAATGGTGAAGTAATTACTCAACCTTATAATTACTCATTTATATTATAGTATTTTATCTTTTTAGTTTAATCACACTTTTTCATGTTCAGAAAGATTTTTCATAACATATACTTATCTTTCTACATGTACGCATTGGAAATGGTCGGAGTCGGCTAAATCAAATTGGAAATGTTTGCATCTATCCATCCACCCATGCCATGCGCCCACCTTTTTAACTTCATTTTTTATTTAATTTTAAAAAAATAAAACATTACCAATAAAATTTAACCAAAACATATTTTACAATATTTGTAAACAATATTTTTAATATTCATCTCATTCTGTGAGACAAACATATATTTTAACATCTTTACTCTAATTGTCACATAGAGGAAAAAGAGAAACAAAAAATGGATAATAAGGAGATAAAGAAAAATAATGCACATTAGCGAGAAAGTATTCAGGTACTATTATTCAAACACAATCATGTTCTCTCACCCTGTTTTTTTTTATTAAGAGATGAGTTATCATCTTTGATCATTACTGATGTACTCCTACATTTCTACACCACGTGCATGGTAGGTAGCTAAGAAAAAGATTCTTTTAATTTTAATATTAATATAAGTAGAATCTAATTGTTAACCGGTTAAATATATTCCCGTTCTTGTAAATATAACTCAAAATTTTAAAATTTATTTATATATTATAATTTTTATTATGTCTTTAACTAATACAAGGTTTCAATGTAAATTGCTAACACGATGACTTTTCTTTAAGTGATTATTATACAAAACGTAGGATCGATGTAACATGAAGCATAATAATGTCACTATTAAAGTTATCACCGATTAAAAATATTAATAAGTTGTGTGTTTAGTCCTTAAGTACATTAAAAAAATAGCTGAAGCTTAACATCTTGTTACCTTTTTTCATTTTTCTATCAAAAATCTGATAGAATTTCGCTCCACGTTTCTAAACAATTATTATAGTAACATACAATGCGTCAACAACAACAACTACAATATTATGGGTTGATGAAATCATTGTTTTCAGTTATTTATATATTTACATATAGAATAACAGTTATTTATGATTAGCTACCATGACTATATCCAAAGCTTTCATTTTTTCCATAGCAAGAAAACAATTATTTTCGTCTTTTTATGAACAAGGGTGACGCGACTTTGTCAATTAAAAAGCAAAAATGTAAACCAGTAAGCAAACCCTAATTTTTTGAAAATTTTTTAAATTCAATTTACATGTCACTTATAAGTTTTCTATTCATGATTTCTAGGTCTTTACTTCTCCTGCACTTCATTTTTTATTGCACTGTTACTTCCTCCACCTTAATTTACAAGCTTTTCTAGTTCATTTTCTGCAACATTTACTTTTCAAGTCATTTAAGGTTTTGCAACGTTTCAATTTCTAGTGTCTTTTACAACCTTTCCTTTAAATTCATCTTCACATTTCTATAAAAAAAAAAAAAAAAAAAAAGTTGAATCTTCAAACATCTTTAAATGTTTCGTTCACAAGTATTCAAAATAAAAAAGTCACTATTACTCTTCGATTAAGTCCACAAATCAAATTAAATTAAATACTTTAACTTGTTTCATTTCTGACAAATTGAAAACATATATAACATTACAGATTGTAATAAGAGAATTCACAGTTAAGAAATATTAGATTCTCTCACGTAATATTGACTAATGTCCATAGATTTTTAATAATTTTAAAATCTCTTGAAAATACTTTAAAAAATATTTTTCACTAAAACATTTATCTATTTAGTATATTCTATTAATTACTTTATGAAATTTAGATTAAAAAACTGATTATAATAACTAAGAAACTGTGATGTGAAAGTAAATGCCTAAGGACTATATATACAACATACACAACTAAAATATTTTAAAAAATATTAAAATAAATATGTATAAAGTTGAAGGATTCAACTTAATACGACCTGAATTTAATTGAACATATTAAAATTAATTAATTAATTAATTTTACTTCTTTTTTCTTGTAAAAACCCAATCTAAACTCACACACAACAAAGTAAACAACATTATTCTCACGCAAATTTGATAGCACCGAATTCGCTCCACCTACGTCACTTCCTGGTAAGTAAAAAAAGTTACACAAGAGTTTAAAATTATTCTATTTGAAATAACAAAACAGAAAAAAGTGCATACAATTTGTCTCAATACATATATGAATAGGAAATTACGTCTACGTGTCTATTTTTTTTGTTTTTGATATTAAATTAGTGGTATATGTAATTGGTGTAAATCTTTTATTAACGTAATTAATTGAGAAATTGCAGTGAAGCAGTGGAATAATTTGCAATTGTTGTTAAAGGATTAAACAAAAATGTTAGGGTAGACGTAGAAAGGTCTAAATATGTTTCGAAACGTAAATGATTAAAATACGTTATTGGAAATAATTTAGATATAAAAGATAAATGAATATTATTTCATTTCTATTTTATTTTTTCTAAAAATGGGTTATTATTGACAACTTTTTAAGTTATGTAATACACTCTTCCTTATTTATTATCAACAATAAAAAAAAATGATATATTTATCTTCTTTATAGTTCTTTTAATGGGGGTTTAATGCAACAGTAGCCTGATAATTAATTCTAACAAAAAGTATTAAAATTTGACTTTATCATAAAAAATGTTGTAAGTGATAGTTTAATGGTAGAATTTTAATGCAGCAGTAGTCTAGTTATAAACTGAATAAAGTATCAAAATTTGAGTGGATCAATAAAAAAAATATTAATGATATTAACTCTCTTAATGGTAGATTTTTAATACGACAGTAGTTTCGTTATTAACTCTAATAAAAAGTATTAAATTTTGAGTTGATGGTTTAGAAAGGAGTAACGATCATGTAATCAGAATAGTTATTAATGTAAGTTTTAACAAATTTATTATACATTGTGATATGTAATTAAAGGAAAATGTAGGTTTATTTTTTCAATTTGCACACTTGCCTCTGAATATGAAATAAAATAAAAAGTAGTTTGTTTCGACTCGGTGGAAAAAGGCATAGCCTCTAACGTTACCATTCCATTATTAATAGGACCCTCTTTTTGTTATCCTATCCACTAATAAACACAACTTCCATGTTCTCTTCCTCTCTAAACTTCTAACCTTTCTTTCTCTCTGTCCCTCTTTCCAATTCTTACAAAAATGGTGGCTTTGGTTTCCCAAGACAAAAACGTTGTTGCATTGGTTTCTCGTACAGGCAGAGAGTTACAACGCTACAGAAAAGGTCGTCGCCAAGTCGTGGGGTTTGTCTCATTTCTAATCCCATCATTGCCTTTAGTATTCAATTTCTGTATTGAGTTCATTTCAGTTGCGAGTCAACATTCTTTCTTACTTTCAATTTGGTTGCCACTTGTGCGTAGATGCATACCATACAGATACAAAATTGTTGATCAAACTTCGTTGGAGGGAACAGAAGATTTAGAAGTTTTGGTTATCACTTCTCAGAAAGGCAAAGGGATGCTATTTCCTAAGGTAAACCACACACCAAAATATTAGTCATTCAAATTCAACACCCAAATGGGATATATTTTGATTTGTTCACATTTTTATTCACCCCATTTGTGTTATCCGTTTGACCAAAACAACAGGGAGGGTGGGAGATGGACGAATCCAAAAAGGAGGCAGCTTTGAGAGAAACCATAGAGGAAGCAGGAGTTATAGGCACTGTTGAGGTCAGGCTACTCAAAAAAAGAATCAAAGTTTGATAACTATAAAATCATGAATTATTCATAAATCATTGTTGATACAACTTAACTATCAATAAAACTGGTTTAAGTTGACATGAAATGTTGATTTGATTGGTGCAGGGGAAACTGGGTAAGTGGAGTTTCAAGAGCAAGACTCATGATACATTTTATGAGGGCTACATGTTCCCTCTACTAGTCCAAGAGCAATTGGAGTTTTGGCCGGAACAGAATTTTCGTCAAAGAACATGGGTAGGTAACTAAAAATGGAATACTTGAGGACAGTGTTTGAATTTTTCCTGGTTGTTTTATAGTGTTTGAATGGTTCTTTTTCTTTCTTCTAATGATCACTAACTTAGAAAGTGTCAAAAATTTCATTTGGGGTGCAGATGAGCGTTTCTGAAGCAAGGGAAGTTTGTCAACACTGGTGGATGAAAGAAGCTCTAGAGAGACTAGTAAACCGTCTCACGGCTAGGAAACTTGGTCGTGTGAGACAGATAGTAGGTTCTATACACTGCATAGGAGATGGCAATTCTGACTTGTAAACAGGGATATGCATACCCTTTTACCTATTCTTCGACGGAATGAACTGGTAGAATCCCAATGGAATTAGAAAAAAAAAATACATGATAGAATTAGATAAAATAGTATAATGATGGTAAATGACGTAGAAGTTGTCAATTTCCCCATTAAGATATAGAGTACTTTATATCAAATGGGGTTAAAATGTGAAAAATGAAGGTGAGAGAATTCACTGCATCTGTATAGTGTGATACTCCTCAGAATCCATTGTTCAATAAAATATTTTGTTTCAGTTTCAAGCAACAGTTGATACCATGTGAGAAATTTGGCAGAACTGCTGTGTAATAATAGCAAGAAATTATGCCAAGTAAATAGTACTAATACATCATTATGACCTGTCATATATTACACTGACAATGATTTTTTATACTGACTTCTATTGTGCTACGAAAGGGAAGTAGAAAATGACTACAGATTAGAATTAAAAAAGAAAAGAGAAGTATGAATAATATTAATGTACAGAAATTATTGCAGAATAAATTACTATATGTGGCTATATATGGTAAGTAAGATAAAGCTTTTTCAAGTTGACACTGTGAAATTTGCTATTTATTACTGTTTTAGATTGTTAACGTGTATGGCCACAAAAAATGCGATTAAAGTGTCTAGAAATTTGATGTTCAGTCACCTTTCTTTTGTATGAAACATTTGATTCAAAAGAATCTTCATCAACTGATCCAATGGGTTCTAGCATTTACCATGTGAACTTTAGTTTGATGCTGTGAATTATTTGTTCTAATTACTGATTAATTGTTACTTAAATCAAGAGCAAAGTGGAGTAAACCTCTTCCTTTTTTATCTATTTATATTTACATTCCTTTTGTACCAACTTGAAGCTTAGATTGGAATTTGGAAGTGGCATTTTTGGTGCTTCAACCACTTTGAGACATGAATTGAGATGCACCTTTTATGCTAAGAGGAATACGTGTGGAATTGGTTGACCGAGTCCTTATCATGAATGGAATTCCTTGGTCGAATTTGAGAACCGAAAAGTTGAAGAGGAATTTTATTTCAAATTTTTGGTCAACAAAAGAAATTTTGATTTATTTATCTTGGTCTTCAACAAGAGAAATTTTGTTGAAGATGAAGATTAGTCTAGAACCCAGCAAAGTGTGGGCTTCGGGGAAAGTTCCTAAGTCTTAATTGGGCTTTTGAGTCCAACAACACACGCACTACCCAAGGAAAAAAAAAATTGCCCCAGTGTGCCTTGTTCTTTAGTTAAACAAAAAGCCCCTTGCATGCATTAACTCCAAATTATTCTGATGGTTTATTGTGTTTTTCATTGATATTACACCACAAAAATTCCATTAGCTGATCATAATTATATCTAACTAGATCATGTAAATGCACAGGAAAAATATTGTGAAATTGTTAATTAGTTTTGTTAAATTTTAATTTTGTTAAAATTATAATCTATAATTAACACAATTTGTTGAAAAATAATTGGTTGAGTGAATAATATTTTATCTTCAGACCAATTGCGGAAAAACTACAGAAGAAATATCTCAAATCTTGTCATAAACAAAATTACACAATGGCAGTTTATATAAGAGAGACAATAATTAATGTAACTGACAAAACTAACTTCTAAATTTTACTTATTCCTAACATTTTTCCTTACAACACTAGTAGATGTTCTAAAATATCTAAATTTTTATCCTTTAGTATTTTGATAAACACATCAATAAGTTGTATTTCAGACTTACAATAAGTAAGAAATGAAATCTTGTTTCAATGTGTTTGCTCTTACCATGGGAAATAGGATGTTTAGCAAAGTCTATTGTAGATTTATTATCCACCAAGAGCTTTGGTTGTTGTACCAAATCAATATTCATAACTATGTTGCCTGACATGCAGCTTCTAATATTGCTATGTATTTTGTTTCGTAATAAGAAGATAAAATTACAACAGATTCTTTGACTGAACTCCATGACACTAGTGCACCTCCACAGAAAAACACATATCTAGCATGTTTTTCTTATCATTTTTGTTTCCACACTAGTTTGCATCACTGTATCCAACCATCAAGAATCCTTCATCTAGCTTCTTTGGGAAAAATGTGTCATAGTCATAGGTATCATGTAGATACCTTAATAACCTTTTAGTAGCATTCATGTGAGATAACTTCGGGTTGTGCATTAACTTGCTTATTAGACCAACACCAAAGTTTAAATTTGGTCTTGTGTTGTACAAATACCTCAAAAACCTAACAATCTTGCGGTAGAGAGTGGGATCTACATGCTCTTCATTGTTTTCTTTTTCTAGTTTCATACCAACTTCAACTGGTGTTGTTGCAGAATTACACTGACTCATACCAAATTTTGATAACAAATCTTTTACATACTTACATGAAGAAACTTAATTTCCAAAAAATAATTGAGTTCACCAAGGCTACTCATTTCAAACTCATTCAACATTTGAGATTTGAATTGAGTGATCAAATCTGTTATGCTTCCAGTCACTAGCAGATCATCAACATAAAGATAGACAATTAGTTTATCTTTTCTTTAGTCACTGTGGGAATATTTCACGTACACACCGTGTTCTATCACGCACCTCTCAAAATTAACTTGATGGAGATTGTCAATTTGAAGATTTCAAGCTCTTGGAACTTGCTTGAGACCATGTAAGACCTTCAACTTGTATACTTTGTGTTCTTGCCCCCTAATTTAAAAACTCTGAGGTTGCATAACATATACCTCTTCATCAATTGGCACATTCAAATAGGTTGATCTCACATCTAATTGGTGCATAGACCAATTCTCATAGGTTACAAAAGCTCCAGCCTTTTACAACAAATCTTTTGCCACTAGTCAGCCTTTATGTCTCACAACTTCCCCTTTTGGATTCATCTATACCTTATAAATCCATTTCATATAGGTCTTTTGTTTAAAGGTAGATCAACTAACTTCCAAGTTTAATTCTTTTCTATAGAGTTGATTCTTTTCATGCATTTCTTCATGCATTACAAATTCGGCTTCCGTAGTGCAAAGTGCACTAGATTTCCTTTAGATATAATTGTTGAATCATTAAACATCTCATAATCTGTTAAGTGGTAAAAAGTTGATATAATTATGCCTTGAATTGTTATGAAACCACTTAACTTATGTTAATTCTAATATATTTTTCTCCCAATATAGGATGAATTCGAGAATACCTTGATACAAAAGTAAGGAGCATAATTGGAGTAAAATTGAAAGAAAGAAGAGCGCTTAAGCGAATGAATGATGCGAGGTCCGACCCAAATTCTCTTATAAAAAGATATGTTGTGTTTTGAGAAAAGCAGACAGTCTTGGACGAGAGGAGGCACGACTACTGTTAAAGTTTTGTCCAATCTTCATCAATTTTTCACTTTTTCATCAATTGGAACATTGTAATGGCTAACATGAGTGACTAACTTCATTCTCTTAGGATTCGGTGCACTTCCTTTGAACTCTTTTGTATTATGGTGATATTTTGAGATATTAATCTATGCTTTAATGTTGTTATTCTTATCCTTTATGCTTTAAAATAATTTATTCTTGATTGTTTGAGGTATGATTGGAAAATATATCTTGAACCCTAGATCACGGTAAGAATATTTGTTACGTTAATTGTCAGAAATGGAATGAATGTATCAATTACTTAAACACCCTAACCCTAATGCTGAAAAATCTGTTAATTGTGTGAGGAATCAACATTTATTAGGTTTTCTTATGAATTTCATGTGTGAGGAATCAACATGGATGATTTGAGTAGGTGGCATCAACATTGTTAGGTTAATTGACGTTCTTAATTGATATAGACATTACAAAATAGGGATAAGGAGGGAAGTCAATCCTAAGTACCTTTAATTGATATTGTATCAACAATTTACAGTTCTTTGTCATTTAAATTCAACTCAACTCTTATTTGCAAAACTCAATCTGTTTAAGATACTTAGTAAGCATAATTGAGAATTTTCATTGAAACTATTCCTTGTGGGATCGACTTTTATTTTATCGAAATACTATCCTGCAATTGATAGATAATTTTGGTACGCTTGCCAATAATTCAACATAATCCTAAAAATGTGATGGCAATTGAGTAATCCTATGAGATCTTCTTACCACTTGATCACTTCTTTCATCCACAACAGATGTGTTAGCTGCTTCCATTATACCAGAATTGTCACTTAGTATGATGCTAGACTATTTCCAATAGCATTTCTTTGATTATTTGTTTTCCAATTCCAACATGATGCTTCATCAATTACAACATCCCTACCGATTGAGACTCTTCATGTTTCAGAATCATGTAACTTGTAGCCACCAGTTGAGTGATACTCGATTAGAATAAAAGTTATACATTTATCATCTAGATTTTGCCTCAACTGGTCTGGTACATGTTGGTAACATAACGAGCCAAAAATTGTCATGTGAGTAACATCAGGTTTCTTCTCGGTCTAGGTCTCTTCTGAAGTCATTCCCTTAAGAGTTTGGTGGGTGATCAGTTCAAAATATAGGTGGTTGTCAAAACAGTTTCTCTCCATAAAATCATAGATAAATCTTTGCTTTTTAACATGCATCATACCATGTTAAGGAAGGTTCTATTTCTCCTTTCAGCAATACCATTGTGTTGTGGTGTATATGGAGGTATTATCTCATGAGTGATACTAGCCTCTTCACAAAATTTCTTGAATTCACTAGAGATATACTCTTCACCACCATCAATTTTCAAGGTCTTTACGTATTCCCCACTTCGATTTTTAGCCAAAATCATAAACTTCTTGAAAACAACAAAAATGATGAAAGATCTACTTCCACCTGGAGTTTCAACTTGCAATGGCCCAAATATGTTCGAATGCATCATCTCTAGCTTCTTAGTTGACTTTTGTGGCACCATTTTACAAAAACGATTTCTTTTTTGTTTGCACTGCACACATTCTTTGCATATTTCTCTGTTATTATCAAATGAGGCAGTCTAGCAATTATTTTTTTGTTGGCGTAGACCATGTAGATCTCTGAAATTTAGGTGTCCAAATCTTAGATGATATAACCACTTGTTCCTGTTTTCTATAGCGAAAAAATATTGGTGCTTTAAATTTAACCGTGTTTATTCTGACTTGGAATGTCCTGTTTTGTGACAGACCAGCATGCATCACAAGCTTCTTAGACTGATCATACACATTCAGTGAATTGTCTTCTATGATCATTGTAAACCCTTTCTGCAGTAGTTGGTCTAGATTCAGCAGATTAGTTTTCAAACCTGAAACATATAACACATCTTTGACAATCACTTTCCTGCCATCACATTCTTTTAGCACAACACGACCATTGCCCTCAGCATGTAGGCAATTATTATATGCAAATATAATTCTTCCATGATTTACTTAAGTCAAACGAACAAATGATTCTTTTTGTCCTATCATGTGTGTTGAACACCCAGAATCCATGTACCATGATGTGTTATCTACCACATCATAATTTGTTTCAGCCATTAACATGATTGCTTCTGAATTTGAAGTATCATTTTGAGCCAGATTCGTCTGTGCTTGACTCTTTGATTTGTTTTTCGCTCCTTCATCATCCCAACATTCTCTGGCAAAATGGCCAAACTTTTGGCAATTATACACTTCACTTTATTTTTATCAAATTTTCATTTTTTGCCTTCACTTTGTTTATGACTTTTGCTTTTAACTATTTATGAATCATTGGTTTTCTTTTCATACTTCTGTTTGTTATCTTTCTTGAAACTTTTTCCTTTTGGTTTGTGTTTATAGAACTTGTTCTTGATGTCTTCTTTCATTAATTAGGAACTCGTGAGCTTCAAGGGAATGTTGTAGCTTCGCAACCTCCATGCTGTCAAGATTTCTTGTCTCTTCTATGCCTACAATAACATTATCAAAACATGAAGACAATGTTCATAATATCTTGTCAACAACCTACTGATCAATAGTGCTATCTTTGCAAGCCTTCATTGCATTCATATGCTCTTGAATTTTATCAATGTATTCTAATATGGTTTCATTCTCTTCCATAACCGTAAGTTCAAATTTTCTATGCAGGGTTTAAAATTTTACTTTTTTTTTATTTTTATCACCATCTTCATAAGTTTTATTTAAGATTTCTCATATTTCCTTAGTCATGACAGTCTTTTATATCTTGTTGAATATCTTGGTACTCACATTGATAGATGAGAAATCTTGTTTTACTATCAAGCTTCTACTATATCTTATAATTTCCTTTCTTCACATCAGAGGCTTTCAATTCAAATTCGGTAAGTCCTTCAGAAATTACCTTTACAACTTCTTGAAAACAAAAAATAGCACTGCAATCTTGGAAGATCCTTCATGTCTTCTTGAGCTCTGCAATATACTTTCACCTTTTACAAAACGTCCTTTGTCGAGTTACACTCTACTTAGCACATGATGTAAGCTTAACTTCTAACACTTTTTTTTTCTCACTTATCCTTGAATCGTGTTAGCTCCTTATACCATATAAGAACATAGGTCAACTAAAAAATTACAAAAAAAAAAATACCTTAAATCTTATTATGAACAAAATTGCACATTGACAATTTATATACAAGAGAGAAAAATAATCAATACATTTGACAAAACAAATTTTTAAATTTTGACTTATTCCTAATTCTTGAGTGTATATTGAAGTTTACCCATATTTTAAAATACATAAATAATATTATTAGAAATAAGTCACAAATAAAAAAAATAGAGGTAAAATAATTAAAATGTGATAAATGTATGTAAAAAATTACGTTAAATAAAAAAGAATAGAAAATAATGTATAATTGAGTAATAGAATTATATATATATATATATATATATATATATATATATAAAATTAGAAAAATCAAATGATCTGAATTACACGCTGAAAGGTTTGTTTAAGGTATTTTTTTTCTTCAATCTATTGTTCGTTAAATATATTCATTTTAGTCCTGAATCAAGCAATTTTACCTGTACGACAGAATTTGGCAAGAAAAAGAAATATTAGAAAATAGAATTGCTAAATAAATAATAAATAAGTTATACAGAGATAATATGATTTTATAAAATTAATTTATAACTACGTTGAAGTAATTAATTTTAATATTTTATATTTTTGAATTATTTTATTTATGTTAATCTATTACAATTTTTTTATTAATATTCATATTATTCTTACGTGTGTTATAATAGAATTTAATTTTACAAATATTTTAATATTATTAAGAAAATTAATATATTTGTATTTGTTTTAATGTAATAAAGTTATAAAAAAATATTTACATTAACTCGAATATATCCTATAATATATTATTTGTCTGTTTTTTAAGTTATAATATTCTCATTAAATATAAATAAGTTTTAAAAATAATCAAGTATCTAACTCAATCTTATATTCATTGATATCAGAATTGTATTTAACTTGAAATATTTTTTACATTTTTTGACCGCATCTCCTTATTTTAAGAGAGATTTACATATTTTAATATCATTAAAATTAATTTTGATAATTGATAATTGTATATTACAAGACAGGAATTGATGATAGAAAGAAAACTTGCACCACCAGCTCTTCTTACATGCCACGGCATAAGCTTGAATGATGTTGAATTCAATTCTCTCTGCTAGATTCTAAAAATTATTGTACAATGGCGATGCAAAACATGCATGCAAATCAATGAAGTATTATAGTTATACACTTTGGCAAAGTTAGGATGAGATTGAGGAGGTTAGTGCGATGTCATAGTTGGCCTTTAATGTCTTCAATCGAAAAAGGTGATGCTGCACTGTGTCGAAGGAAAGTGTCGTAGCCCTTTCTTTTATCAGTGTTAGCTTTACTTCGTAATTAATCCATACAATATAATATTGACAAATCATTCCTAATGCTTCTCACCAAGTTAGGTTTATCAACTTATATAACACCAATATGAATATTCCACCCGGCCTTCAACTAATTTTACCTTTCCTCACATGTTTCATTAGACAATACAAGCCTAAGGAATTTGATAGAAACAAACAAGTAATATATTCAAACATCATTTGATAGGTACTAATGTTTATATACTATGTTTCAGAAACAGTCTTAATCTGGCGCAAACCAGTGCTAATGTTATTTGCATCTCGTGGTTAGGTTAAGGTGTGGTTTCAAAACACTCATTGAGTTAAGGACAAACCTGTCTCTGCCCCCTAACTAACTAAATTTCCTACTTTATACTGTCAAAGTGTATATTATTGACTAACCAGTTACTTAGACTGTCACTCTCTCCAACTTTAATGAGATTTTCGGTGCTGAATTAGCAAATTTTCCCACTTTCAAAAACACCCAACCCAAACAATCTTTCTTCGATTAAGTTATCTTCTGCACCCATTTAAAATGAGCGCATAATAATAAATTTCTCATTTGTTTATAAATCCAGATCACTTTTAACATTGTCAGAATTTTAAATTCATTTAAAGAGAAAGAAAGAAAGTAAAGTTGCTACTTTGTTAAATTATATCAACCGAAAAGAAAAGTAAGAAAGCATGATAGATAATCAACTAGCCTAAGAAAGAAAAAAAGAGTTTACACGACCCCACAGTCGTAAAATAATGAAAGAGAAGCTTTCTTTGCCCTAGTGGATTTTGCTTATTTAAAGCAACTCTATGTGAAAACTCACAGGTGGATCCTTCTCCATAGCTAAAAATCTTCATATTCATTTGAAGAAATAGTAATAGCACCAAAAACCAGCGTTCATTCCATATAATGATATAATCATTCACATGCATATATACGTGCCCTAAACATTCAAAGCCATATTAGATTTAACGTACGTCAACATCTCCCAAAAATCAAAATGACCAAAAGGGGTATCGCACGCACATTCTTCACAATGTGTGTGTTTTTTTGCGAGACCTTGTTCTTCCCTCGGTTTTCAGAGTGTTCGAGCACGAGCGTGTTACTGTTCAGCGGGTGCGCGCAGCAACGCTACACCCCAAACTCGCCGTACGAGTCGAACCTGGACTCGCTACTCACCTCGCTGGTGAACTCGGCGACGTACTCGTCGTACAATAACTTCACGGTGGTGGGGTCCACGCAACAGGACGCGGTGTCCGGCCTCTATCAGTGTCGCGGCGACCTCGCTATGCCGGACTGTGCAGCCTGCGTGGCGCGGGCCGTTACGCGCGCTGGTGACATCTGCCGTGGGCTGTGCGGCGGCGCGGTGCAGCTCGACGGCTGCTTCGTGAAGTACGACAACATGACATTCCTTGGCGTGGAAGACAAGACGGTGGTGCTGAAGAAGTGCGGGCCCTCCGTGGGGTACAACCCCGACGCCATGGGGAGCCGCGACGCCGTACTGGCCGGGCTCGCCGCCGCGGGGGGGAACTTCAGGGTGGGCGGTTCCGGTGGGGTGCGCGGCATGGCACAGTGTACAGGTGACCTAAGCTACGGCGAGTGCCAGGACTGCTTGGCGGAGGCCATCTCGCGGCTGAAGGGCGACTGCGGCACGGCGGATTACGGGGACATGTTCTTGGGGAAGTGTTATGCGCGGTATTCCACCGGTGGGGCCCACGATGAGTCCAAGGCCCACGGTAAGGCCCATCATCATGATCGCATGCTTGCTCTTCTCTTACTACCTCTCGTGGGTTTTAAGTTCTGAACTCACCCGATAGAAGTTTAATAATGTGTGCTCACCAATTGGATTGGATGTAAAAAAGTGTAATTTTCTTTCACAAATTGTAAGAATCAAAGTTTAAGAAGTGTTTAATTAGTCATTTCTATATTCACACAATTGTAATATTTTAATTTTTTTATATATGTTTACACATTAATTGTTTTAGTCTTTAGGTTTTCACATTCTATGCTAAGGTAAAAATTATAAAAATATAATAACCAAACAAGTAATTAAAGAGACACTTACTTATGTTTTATTTTTATTTTTTTACTTTACATTGTTTTCATTTGTTTCTTTTAAATGTTTTTATAGAAAATATGGAAAATATTTATTGCATTTCTCTATAAATATTTAGATACAGAAAATAGACCATTTTAATAAGTTTTTTATTTTTGTAAAAGTAAATTGAGAATTGGATTCACAAATAAACCATGGACTATGTTTTCGATTTGCTTGTAGTTTGGGCCACTTGCAAAACCCTATAATCAGAAGATACTTTTTGTTAGAAGGAGAAGAAGACAAAATAACATGTGTTGGTATGTTGCAGGCGAATCAGGTCACGGAGGCGTAAAGACATTTGCTATAATTATTGGATCATTGGCAGGAGTGGCTATACTTATTATTTTCCTTGCTTTCATGACCAAAATTTGTGGGAGACAGGGTGAGTGCTATATATAATTTAATTTAGTTTAATTTATTATATTGAAAACAGAATATAATATACTAACATGATTCTTCCTTTTCCCATGCAGGTAAATAAATTAATCTGAGTTTGAAACTCATCATTTCTCTTCTGTATTGGTTTACTTTTGTGCCTCTTTTTGCTTTCTCTTTTTCTTTATTTATTTTACTTTTTTTTAATTCTAAATTCTATTCGAAAGAGAACTTTGAAGCTTGAAGAGGATACCATGTGGAACAAAAAACGTAGAATGGAGATTTTGTATTTGAAATTTTGAATACAAGAGGAAAGAGATTGTAGCTACTTTCTTCCCCCAATTCACAAAGTTCTTTTGTTTAATGTTAATACATTATTCTTTTGTTTCTTCAAAGTGTTAATTGTACCATATTTTTGCTTTGTTTCTCGTCGTTATATGCATCCATGAACGTTTTGGAAACTTACTTAAAATGGATTTTCCATTTTCATTGCAATTAAATTACTTGTACCATTCACATTGATTGAAATATTTTTCATTTCTTAATATTTCAATATATACTAAAGTTATATTATGCTTACTACCATTAAGAAAAATACACCTCACTGAATAATATTGTATTTGTAACAAGGTTATGTATTTTTTAACTTTAAATTCACAAAATTCAGACATAATGTTGGCTTATACTAATTTCTTGCTTATTTTTTATTTTAATTTCTTTAAGAAATACAGTTAAAAAAATTGTTTATTGAAAAATAAAAAATATATACATCGAACCTTCCAATTTGCTCTTACTATTTATTGCAATTATTATATAAATATTATTTGAGGATATAAGTTTGAGTAAAATAATGAGTTAATCCTTTATTTAAAAAATTTACGATAAACTAATTTAATTATGTTAGCATTAACTATAATTATTAATTTTAATCATACAATAAATACAAATCAACAAGCTAACTCAAATAATTAATAAAATAAGATATTATATATTATTAAAAACATAATTGATTTGTTTTGTAATTCAATCATTGTCCATAAAGTACTTCATCTCTGTATTGGAGAAACTATATTCTTTCTCAGTAACTTTGAAACAATGTGAAACACTGAGGAATGTGGCTAATTAAAATAAATTATAAGTTTAATTCAAACTAAAAGTTCTCTGCCAAAGAATATCCCAGCAAGGAATGCATCTTCAGCTATCGAAAAAAGGATCAGAGTTACGTTGGGAGAAGATAATCTAATAAAATGCATTTTAATATCATACGTCGTATATAACGCATAAAGAGGACCACAACACCACACTTTTCTCTTTCTTTTACCCCAAACATCATTATTTCCATGAAATCCATTTCCACATGCCACATATCTCAAACTTAAGGATTAAGGAAACACAACCATGTCCATCTACATATATGCATCATACAATAAACTACCATAAGCCTACAACATTCTTTAATTTTGTACCCCACAAATTAGTTCCAAATTAAGAAACCAAGCAAATAATTAAACACTCTCCATAAAAAAAATGGTTAATGAATGGATTATATGTTTTTACATCAAATAGTTTATAGATTAATTGAATATTTCAAAATATTTTTTGTCGGACTCATTCATTGTAATTTAATTGAAAATTTATTATCTATCAATTGACACCCAAAATTTTACAAGAAATATGGACAATTATTTATGCATATAAATACCGTTCTTTTATAAGTAACACATAATAATTGTATACGATTATTTATGTGATTAATATTAACGCTTTGTGAAGTAAAACCAACTAGTATTTGTATTTCAATAATCTTATGATATGCTAACAATTTGTCAATATCAGTATCTAACGATCTTATTAACCACATATTATATAAATATGTTTTGTTTATTCTTGTTAGTATGTAGCAATTACATTATTATTTAAAATAAATAATGTATGCCATTGCGAAAATAGCATAATTATATATGTATTTAAATTTACGAGGAGCGAATTTACTTGCTTTTGTTAAATTGCAAGCCCAATAACTTGTCCAATTTCCGACGACAAATTGCAAGCGCAGCCCAATGAATTAGACTAAACAGTAACTAAAAATCTGCGTATTCATTAGGAGGCCCAAATGGGTTCGAATTGGAAAACCCAGTTGTAGTGAATCGCTTTCCATTTTGCTATTGAGGAAGAACCCAGAACAATGGATAATTTGATTGAAGACGAACACAGGATCAAAGAACATTCTGGAGTGTCCGCGACAGCTCCTATCAGAAACAAAAAAAAAATATATACTAATTCCATTGTTCATCACAATAATTGGAAGTACCATATCATATACATCGTGACCTTTTGCTACCAGATTTCTCTCTTCACTGGTGTAATCAATGGCTGACACTATCTTTGGGTACCCTCTCAGACGCTTCTTCTGGAGTCACCCTCCAATTTTCAGAGAATGGTCTGGCTCCACAGCCCTCTTGGATTGGCTCGAATCACCTAATGCGCACATCTTAAAAATTAATGTTCCAGGTACCCTGTTCACATTGGTATGAAAAAGAAGAGTTAGATATAACGATTTAAGTGATTTAATGTTCTTTTTCAATTTTACTTTGATAATACAATAATAGTAAAAAGGTATACGGGGAATTGCATCTAATTTTTTTGCCTTGTATCTTATTATAATCTTTTACACTTTCTTCACATTCAGTGACCCATTAAAATCATGAGTAGAAATGCTATATGTGATGGTAAAAATGGAATCTTTTTAAGGGTTTGACTTGACTGGTGGAGTGCTTGATTGATTATAATTGAGTTTTGGTTGATGGGTATGTGTGTGGATAGGATTCAGCAAGGATGACATAAAGGTGCAGATTGAGGATGGTAATATTCTACACATCAAAGGGGAAGGTGGAAGAGAGGAGCCTCAAGCAAAGGAAAAGGATACTGTTTGGCATGTTGCCGAGAGAGGCACTGGGAAGGGTGGTTTCTCAAGGGAAATTGAATTGCCAGAAAATGTCAAGGTGGATCAGATTAAAGCACAGGTGGAAAATGGAGTCCTGACAATAGTTTTGCCTAAGGACACAACACCCAAATCGCCTAAAGTGAGAAACATTAACATCACTAGCAGGCTTTAAGCTTCTCAGATCTTGAATATGTTTATATGAATAAGAATTGAGGGATAAAAATGTGTTCATGATGTAAACAATACAACTATGTAAGTTATTTTGTGTGTGTTGTGTGTCCCCTTTTGATTGATATGAAGTTATGAACCTTCTTGTTAAATCAACCGAGAGCCTGCACCAAAAACCATTACGTCATGCCTCTATAATAGCTAATGGAAAGATAATTTGGTACGAAAAGAGTATAGTTTGTGCCAAAGGTAAACAAGCCAAATCAGAGTTGCCAAACAACATATGTTCAACTGTAATTTAATGATTTCTGCAACTGTGACAACACTCATGTTCTCACTAAACATTGGTATGCAATTAGATCAATAATGTGAATGTTATATAGGAGTTGCCAACTAGATTTAAGAGGAACATGAGGTGTGTGGAGAATGGTAGATAGATTAGACTAGGGTTTAGGCAAAGTAATCTCTAAAGAGATTTGATTGTCAGTTGAACACGTACACTTTAGGCCTTTGAAAGGTTCATCATCAACATCAGATTGCTCTTAAACCGTTGTTATATTGTTCCCAACTGTATGATATAGAAAAAAGTAACACTATTAAAATTAAAACTTTTAGATTTATTGATCATTTCCCTCTTTACAGTTTACAGACAATTGCTCCAGTCATGTACCCAGGGATGTTAAACTGTTCTATTCTTGCCTATCAGAGTAACTTCAAAGGCAAATACTTAAACTATTTTAACTGTTAACAAACGATGCCTTAACCAATTGTATCATTAGAGATAACTTACAAGCAATAAAATGGAGCCACACCACACTGTATAACACTGAACAAAAATGACTTGCAGGAATAAGGTTATTAGGAAGATGTATGATCACCCCATCATCTACACCTTTGTTTTACAATTGATGAGAGTAAGGAATTATTTATGATTAAAAATATTGTTTTAATATTTGTTTCACGAATATAATTTATTTAAAATTGAAAAAAATATATAAATAGTTTTCTTTCGTTTTAAATGTATGTAATATTTCTGTAAAAATAATATTTTTATTTTTAATTAACCACTCTTATATTGTAACAAGTTCTAAATATTACTGTGAACATGTGTTATGAACGAGTGTTGAGACGACTAAAATTGTTTAATCAGTGATTAAACCATTTACCTTGTTTTTGTTAATGAGTATTGTTTGCGGTGAAACGAAACCTACTTAATTTAAAAGGGATTGTTACTACCTTCTTCCAATAGTTGTTGTTAACCTGGTATGTCACTGTTCCACCAACATCTTTCGTCATGTTCGCACTAATATGGGTTTTTTTTTTAATTTATTTAATATGACTTTGATTTCTTCTCTAGAGAATTTTACTTAATATATTTTTATTTAATAAATATGAGCTACAATACTTTTTTGCAGCACTATGTTTTATTTCTTCCTTCTCGTATTTTATGTTTCTCTGTTTTCTCTTCTTGTCTCTACCGTGATTGAATAGCTTTTTTCACAATTTTTTTATACAATGGTTAGTAACACAAATTTCATAACATTTATTTAAAAAGATTTATACATATTTTCCTTTTTAAATACGATTATTGGTTTTTATTTGATTCTTCACAATAAAAGGTTATAATTTAGTTTTTATTTTTGTGTAGACCTTTTATTTGTTTTTAATGGATATGTGTTTTTAGACAATCTTTCTCTGCACTTAAATAAAAACTCATGAAATTGTCAATTAGAAGATAATATTGAAACATTTAAAGATATCACTTAGTTGAGTTAGATTTAGATTTACACTAGTTGTGTGAAATAATTAACTTTATCAAATCAAATTAATTAAGATTTCTTGGTCCATAAGAATGAGCCGAAAATGAAAAAGATTGAAAGTTTAATTATGATGATTATAACATGTGGTACTTGGTGCTTATAAGAGGACAAGGTAATGCATACACGGAAAATACAAATAAAGAGTTATTTAATGTCCAAAATGAAATTTCTCAACAAAATTTCAGTACCATCCCAAATGAAGAACAAACAGCAAGCACTAAACAACACACAAATATAAGTCAAATAGTATTAATCAATAGACAAGAAGAAGAGCAAATTCGCTTTCTTTATCTTTCATCTTCAATTCATTTATTTCCTCCACAATGGTATTGATAAACTTATAATAGAGTGCAGATTTGCAGATTAATCTTTCAATTCAATTGAATGCGTTTTTCAGACTTTTTCTGAATGAATGAACATGTGCTTTCTTTTCAGCTAAATGGTCCCTTATGGGCTCCACCAATGTCTCTTTGTTAAGAAATTAATTAACAACAAAAACTGAGAATTAGTCTCTAAAGAGAAATAAATATATTTTGGTCAAAATTTTGCAGAAATAAATTGTCCCTAACAATACATTTGTTCATGTTATTATTATAGTCGAGGTCGTCTTCAATTGAGGTTCTTAACTGTGTTGTTATGTTCAGATTTTTTTTTTCCTATTAGAGTATAGAGAGGTGGATATAAGTGTAAAACTAGTTTTTATACAAAAATTCATAATAAGAAGTTTTAATCAAATATGAAGTTCAAAAATATAGAGAACTAAACCAATTAAGATCCCAAATTATGTTATTTTATTGAAAAAATAAATAAAATTTACATAGCATTGAGGAGTAAAAAAAAGTGTACAATACAGAAAAGAAGTTGAAAAAATAAAAATCACGTTTTACCTTGCAGAAAGGGTTAAGATTTGAACCACGGAAAGGATATTTAAGGTTGATACTCTTTGAAGTGACACCTGTACTAAACCAAGGGAAAGATTGACTTAACCTATACAATAAAATATTAAAGTTGTATTTGAATCATCTCCTCTATAAAAAAAAATACAAGTTTATAAGAAACTAATTTTAAAAAATTATAGTAATTATATATAAATTAATTTTAACTTTCGATTTCTTTTTTCTATTAAAAGTGCATGAGAAAAACTGATTCAAAGTCATGTACGCTCAACACATGGCATCTTATGTTCCAATTTCACCACCCAAATGTATAACATACACATATTAAGACCTAATTTATTGGTGGCACCGGAAAAGTAGGAACTCCAATAATTATTATATTCACATTTTATGACTAAACACAAATGCGCTACTCATAATCATGATGATTAGTCACTTCACTTCCATTAATTTATAAGATGGATTTGTTATAACTTATATATTATATTTTTTATCATCTTTAGTCTACGTGGGACATGAATATAGTGATGGACTTTTTAATATATTTAAGATAAATTCTGATATTATTTTATAAAATAATTTAAATTTAACTTTATATTAAAAAGTCGATTCATAAGATAAAATTGGTCACTGTTTATATTCTATGTCTTTGGTTTCATATAACTGATATGAGAGTTACTTATTTTTTTCTAATACACCACCTTATATATATATATATATATATATATATATATATATATATATATATATATATATATATATATATATATATATATATATATATTAAACTAGTTTCATAAGAAAGAATAGTCCAACTAATACATTATATCTTGATACTATGTCAAATTTATATTTTTCAACCATAAATGAAATTCATATGATAGTAGTTACAAATTAGGAAATATTAATTTTAATTATTATAATATATGGAAATAGATGTTAAAACTGTGATTCCAAATTATCAAAAGTTTTGCACTTTCTAGGGGATAGAATTAAATATTATGTCAAAGTCTAATATTTTGATTCCTTACCTTATCGAAACATACTTTCGGCATGATGAGTCACTAGACATGTTCTAAATTTAATTTCAATTTTAGTTGTAAATCTTAATTTCATATTAACTTTATAAGACAAATAAATAAAAATTTAGAATAAAAATGAAATTTAGTGATTAAACATTTTCTGAATATCAAAAGCTAAAATTTCGAAGTTGAGTTTTAATACAAAGAAAGTAAAACAAAGAATAACTCTTACAAGATGCCCCAACCACCGCGATTAATTCACTTTTATTTGTGTTTATTTAAGGTGAATCCTATTTTTTAAGGAATTAAATATTTTATTTTTAGCTATTATTTTCTTTCATAAGTGCATATTGATAACTCTACCTATGGTATATTTTACACAATTATACTTTTAATAACTTTTATAAAATATAAAATTAATCCATTTAATTATTCAATACAAGTTTTTTTGGCTCGTATTAAAACTAATTTAAAATGTAAATATAATTTAAATAAAAAATTACGGTGGAATGCATTTATTCTTTCAATAGATGAAAAATTTAAAACCAAATTTATTAATTAAATTAAAATATCCAATTTCATAATTTATTAACGTCATTGATCATTAACAATCCCATCTACAATTCACAATAAACCGAAGTATATTAAAATATTAACTATATTGCTTGCATGACATCATTACCACTAAAAGTCCCATTTAAATTCCTAAAACTGCAACTTATCAACATAGTCAAACACACATAATAATGATTTGAATATTATATCAATAATTAATTTTATAAACTCGTATCTTTAAAAATGTATTTCAAGAAAATAATAAGTTTATAAATATGGGTTAAACTTAAAATAGATCAATAATATTTTATTTAAATTAACAATTAAGGATGTAAATCATAAAAAAACTATTATGCATATTCCTAAGAGTAGGGATGGCAATTAAACTCGTACCGTGAGGACAGACCCGTCCCCGCCCGAGTTTGACGGGAAACCCCGAGTTGACTGGGGTCGGGTCGGGTCGAGCTTTCCCGCTTTAAAAAGTTGGGGCGGGGCGGGATGGGTAATGCAATCCCGACCCCGACCCCGCCCGTCCCCACCCCGACTTTATATTTAAATTTAAATTTTAAAAAATTAATATTTTAAAAGTATTTCATTTTCTTTTTCTATTACATATAAGGTTATTTTTTTATATTTCACCAATTTTTATTTTTCTTCTACCCACTTTTTAATTTTTTTTATCTTTCTCAATCTTTTATATCAATTAATTTA